AACATCAGACTGGCATAAAAGGGCATTAGGCAGTACCACAACTTGTCTGACAGGTGTACTCCTGGCTCTGGCAGTGCAGACGCCTCCATGTCAGAAACGGAAGCCGTAATTAGAGCAAGGAACAGAATGAACGTCAAACGAATTACCCGGCAGCAGATCATATTTGTCAGGAAGGATTGCATACATAAAAATTAAGTGACAGTACATGCCGGGGTAATGAAACAAAAATGAAAGATTTGCCCATACGCTCTTCGTCAGATACAAGCGGAGTGTCTTGCCTCTGCATGACAAATTACGAGGCTGGGTTTCGAGAGCTCCTCTTTTCTTCCCCACAAAGTCGGCATCCGTAAAGCCAAGACAGGGTGAGGCCCACTTAAACAGATACCTGACAGCAGGCTGGCAGAATAAACTTGGGGCACATCATCCCACACTCTGGAGGCAGTGCTGGTAAACTCCCCAAACCACACTGAAACGTGGGGGTGCGAGGAGTGCCTTTCTATGGTTGTTCCCTATCGGAAGCAAGGTGTTGTCAGCCCTTCATAAAGTTTTTAGACTTTCCTCATGGAACATCTAGTCCATGTTCCACTTTTTCCAACCCTTGGCACCCCACCGCTAGCTCTTGGGAGCAGGGGTGCACTTCTTAAAATGCCAGGAGGACTTACCAGTTTGGTCACAGCTTATTAGGAGGCCTTCATGTTGGAAGGTTTGTAAAGGAATGTTTGGCTTACAGGTTTTCACCATGGAATAATTGTGGGGCTTACTTCCCAAGTAGCTACGTTGGGGGGGGGCAGTACACAGCACATGCCGCTGCTCCAGAATCTTTCCTGAGACTGCCACGCCTGTGGGCACTGACCTTTTTCCTACCGTATGTTGGTTTTCTGATCCAAGTTTTATGCGAGGTTGAGATCACGATAAATTCAGATTTGCGCAAGTGTGCATCTGGACTGGCCAAGACAGTGTTGAAGTGATAAATTCAGATTTGCGCATCTGGACTGGCCAAGACAGTGTTGAAGCTACGCAGAAGGAACTGCCTTTGCATCACCCTCCACTCTTGAAATACGCAAGGAGCTGTCACTGGAACAGAATGATGGAAGCTGAGTCCACCACGGCCATTTTCATCAGGGTGCTTTATAGGTAGAATGAGATTCCTCCTTTCCTTGTGCTCTTGGGAAGGCGATGTGTTCAGGATGGAATCTCTCTTAGATTCAGGATGGAATCTTGAGTGTCACGAACAGGGAGGGATGTCTGTTATCACCAAACCCCATTCATAGAAGAACCCAGTGGGCAGATGTCGGAAATGCCAACGCGAGTCCCACTGCTTCCAAAAGGAACATGGGAGCCCCTTCTCTTTAAGGGTAGCCTACGTTGTTCTGAGAGGACACTCCGTCCAGTAACTGTAGGGCAGCGGAGACAAGAAGCCTTTTAGCACAGCACAATGGGCCTACTGTCCCTGCGTTAATGCACATACCGGCTGTTTTCATTCCTTTCTTCGTCCAGTGCTAGTATTGCAGGCTTAATTGTTGGAAACATCGTTAGCCTTTAAAAGTAGTTAAAGCTGTGATTTCGCAATAGAAAGAATGAAATTACTGCAAAATAGACACTGTTTTTCAGTGGGATTGAAAGTACTCTTTTAAAGTTTTCAGGCATTTTAAATAGATTTTTCCCCCCCTGAAGAACTGCGCCTTTTAAAAAGTCAGCCATTTATTGTTTTCGCCAAGAGAAAAATGATGTGTCTTCTTCAGCCACACTGGATTCAGCTTTCTGTTTTTGGAGCTAGGAAGGCGTTAAGTGATAGACTCAGTGTTTGTTTGGAAAGGTTTACAGGGAAGAGGATGAGGCTCTCCAGCAGTTCAATACTTTCTCAAGATAAACAGTTCTTTGATTATTTTCTTATAGGTTATGAACATGTTTGAAAATCAGCCAGTGTCCCAGAATTTTGCCTTGACTAGAGTAGAGCATGTCTTAATAATACATGTTTGTTTTCATTATTTTTGCCCTTTTGAGGCCTGTCTTGTGCTCTCATGCAGCGTGGTTTGAAACAGGGAATTCTTTGTAAAAATGCCAAATTTCAGGTTGCACTTTCATGCGCCGAAGTCTGGGTTCCTGCTGTGGACAAAAGCAAGTGCTCCAGTTTCAGAAAAGTGGATCTGCTCCCGATTAAACATTTCCTTGAACACAAGACTTCTAAAACGGCATGCATACTGGACAGGGGTGCATTATCCAAACCGACCCTCCTTTTGCATCCCAAGGTTAGCAAACTGGCTTTGCTTCGTAACTCGTCAAGCAGACCCTTGAATCCACTGCACTTTTGGTCAATCCTTCCCAGAAGGATGGTTTCCTGTAGCGTTACTTCTTTCGAACAAACCTGTCGGACTTTGGTAAGCCGACACTTGCATAAGTCCCACTGATTCAGTGGGGCACTGTAATTGGGAGGGACAATTGGGCTTAGACTTCTACCTCCTCTGGCCCCATTGCCATTCCTTATTAGTATTAATTGATTTTAAGAAAGGGGAGTGTCTTGGTCTCCCTGGTCTGAAGCCGTGCATTTGTTAATGCAGTCTCACCTTTGCTTTCAGCTTGGGAGGATTAAAACCAGTTTTGAATGCACACTGCTCCCTATATAAGTGGAGTGCCCTCTGACCTTTAAACCAGACTCTTAGCTCCTGTTGAAAAGAAGTGCTCCCTCAACTAGCAACCAGCGCCTGTTTGTCACAGCACACCGTTCTTCTCCCATAACTCGTCCCGCACTTAGCATATTGCGTTTTGTGATTAGAAGGTAAGCAGGGACTTAATTTGCCATCCTGATTGCCAAGGCACGTATCTGGGGAGTAACGATGGGAAGAAAAACGGGTTAATCAGAGGCCATGTGCCTTCCCCTCAGTGGACCATGAGCTGCACCAGCTGCGGCTGCTGTGAAAGGGACCCTTAGCAACCCAGAACGCGCAGTTCGGTGTCCCTGAGCTGAATGCTTTTTCCGTTCCTCAGATTGTCCTTCCACCCTCCGTCCCGTGCGTTTCGTCTTCTCTGCCGAGGAAACTTCCTGGTTAATAGCCTCCGATTAGCCTCCTCTTGTCAAATTGGCTGATGCGATGCCTTGGCCAGCTCTGACTGATTAAATCGGAAGTCTTGTGCACTTTCCGAGAAGATGCTCATTACAAGAGATTCCCACTTAATGCCGGACAGCCCGTGAAGACTATTGGGCTTGTCAGTCTTTTATGCTGACACTTACTTTAAAATTAATGCCTCCTTATTTTGAAGCCCAGCGCTCTGCCTGTTCTTCTCTTTGCTGACGAGGGCTGGCTCCGATTAACCCAAACGGATAGGGAAGTGTCCCAGGCAGGTCCGACGGGGCTGGGTCGGGCACAGACCAGCCCACTTAATAGGAGAGAGCCACGTAATGCATGGTAATGAAACAGGAAGTATGACTGGCTTCCTCGTGCCATCAACACGATCGTTCTGTTCGGATAGAAGGCCCTTTCCCTGCACGGTCAGGAATGGCAATTTCAGATCGCTAGCGAAGGATAGCGGAACGGAAGGCAACGTTTTTAACTTTCCCGACTGCCATGTTCTTGTCTGTTGAGCATGGACCCAGACGGTAACTGGGAAGTGTCCACTCTGAGGAATACGGAAAGGTGTCAGCTGTTTGGCTGCCAGAGTGCCCTGCCTCTAGTCTCAGAAAGGTCCTGGGTGTGTGCAGAGCAGATACACAAATCCGCTTCTTTTCACCCCTTCGCAGCCTCCTTTAGAGCTCAGTAGCCCTGAGCATGGACAGAGTTCATTCATAGCAGAGACTCTGGCACAGAATTGTAAATGGTGCATCTCCTGGATGCCAGAATCCGGGAAAGCCCTTTCCTGTCCTGTGCGAATGCATCTGGCATCCTGTTCCCAGCCGGCTTCTTCCATCATGGCTTGCAAGCCAGGGATGAACACGTGGTCTTGTGCTCGAGGAGTTCACATAGAGAGCTGGTCTCTTGAACCGTAGTGTGACAACGGCCGGCTGGGGGGGCCTGGGCTTACATTTGTTGGAATCATGCCTCCGGAACACAAACTGGATGTCAGTCAGTGTGCTTTGTTACCTGTAACCTATAGCCAGGACCTTTGGATGTAGAGGCTGCGATTCAGCCATCGCCTAGGCCACTTCTGGGTAGTTTTGCGTGGATCCTTCTCAGCAGTTCAAGAATCCTTTTGGTGAACCAGAGCATCACTCCAAAATTAGCATAATAGCCGTAAAAGGCTGTCTCAGCCTAATACTTTACATATCTCTAGCAGTTTGGAGCATTTGGTATGCTGAGCATCTCCATTCAGTGCCAACCTGAGGGAACAGCCTTTGGGAAGGGCCAGAAAATAATGGATTTCTTTTTTTCTTTATAATAAAACTGAAGAAGTGTCAGCCCCTAAATGATGTTCTGATCAATTGCATCTAGGAAGCCAATCATGAAATGGCCACAAATGCTCTGGCAACTTCCTCAGGTCTGTGGTTTGGCAGAGCATCACCAGGCAAGAGCTTTTAAAAAGTCTTCTTTCAGCCCTGTCTCCGCTTAAAATTCTGCTCTCCTGCCTCGTGTCACTGAATGTAGTTCATTAGAAGAAGTGCTGGTTAATGAGCCCCCAAAGCTGGTTTCCGTGCTGCCGGAGTCAGGGCAGGTTTGGGTCAAGGGCTGCGTTGGAAGAGACCTTGGCTGGGTATTTTATCTTCCTTGAAATGAGGATAGCTGGGTGCAGGAGGGAAAAATGGAGGCAGGCATATTAAACCGTATGTAACTTTTTTTCTTCTTTTCAAAAGGCTGCTTTTTAATCTCACCCAATGAGTCAGTCTCTCTTCTCTTGCGCCAATTCCCAACCAGAAGACGCTCCTCAAAATTAAACAACTTTAGTGTTTGGGTGGATGCAGTTTTGAGGCTAAGACTTTGATAATTGGTTCCCAGCTACTGCCAGGGGCAAACACCAGGCAACAGAAGAGCAGAGGAGCTGTAGCTAAGCCCTTGTTTCTACATGACTGTAATGCATTTTAATTGTCAGAAGCTCAAACAAGCTTAGCCCAGCTGCTTGATGATTTGGTCCTCCTGTCTTCATTCCTTTTCCACTGGAGCTTCGTATTACTCTCAGCACGCCGACAGTCCATCATACCTAAAACCAGTAGCCCTTACTCAGTAGACGGTAGCCTCTGCCTGCCATGATCTAGACCTGGTTTGGTAATGTTGGTGCCTCCAGTATTCTCAAAGCCGAGTGACTTCTCAAATCCTTGAGAGACATTGCTATGTGCTGTTATGAGCAGATGTTTTGACCGAGGCTGCCTGGCTTTTCTGAAGGAAAAGCAGTTTCCTGTCTTTAAAGAGTTTGCAGAGTCTGGCATTTGGGAGAGTTTCCTGCTGTGCCCGACCCATAACTGTTCCTGTTTACATCGCAAAGAGATCTTGGCTGGGTTTTTTTTTAGCGGTTTTTGAGATCCAGCCTGCTTGCAGGGCAAACTAAACCACCTTTTGAGGTTAGAACCGTTGAACACCGGCCCAGGGACATCTGTCTGTGAAGATTTTCAGTCATCCAGGTGTGGTTATCTGGAAGTTGAGTCATGGCAACTGGGCTTCTTTGTTGATAAGAGATCTCAATTAACGCTATGTCTGTGAAAAGCAGCCTCATTGATGCAGCGTTCGTGGCCAATAGAGACCTTGCCAAATGTTCACGTGATGGAAAACCACAGGATCCTTGGTTATGAGATTGATTTTTAAAGTGGTTTTTTCTTCTTCTCCAGACTGTGTATTTACGTTAATCTCTCTGTCCCCTGATTTCCTGACCTTTAATATTCAGCCCTCAATTACTTTATGGCTCCCACAGCCATCGTACCTTTGTGAGCTTGAGAGGCTAGTGGCTGGCTGCAGGAGATAATCCCTTTATTTGTCTTGGCTTCTCTTTTACAGTGGGAACACCTTACTACATGTCCCCGGAAAGAATCCACGAAAATGGCTATAATTTTAAATCAGATATCTGGTCTCTGGGCTGCTTATTGTATGAGGTAAGCCTCTCTTTGTATGTTTCATTGTATGGGTGGTTTTGCTTTTTAAAATATATGCAACAAGTTATGGGCAGCTGGGGCTTTTTAAAGCGTTGTTAGATTCCAGCCTCCATCATCCCCAAATAGCATGCCCAATGGTCAGGGAGGGGATGGACATTCTCAGGAATATCTCCCAGGCGGGGCATATGCCGTGGCCTTCTCTCACATTGGTGTAGGTGCTATTGCATAGGGAGGGAGGGAAGGAGGGAGTTGCTGGCTCAACAGGTGAAACAGAGGTGGGTTTAACCAGGCAGATATGCTGTTGGAGGACTGAGTCATCTGGCAGTTCAATAGGTGTGGATTGGTTTGTTGGCAGCCTGCGGACTCCCCATGCAAGTTATGTTGAGAGGGAGAGAAATATCAGCCCAGGGAGATTGATAAATGAAATCAGTGAGCTGCTGCTGTTGGGATTAAGTCACCTTGGGGAAATCAGCGCAGCTTGAAGGTGTTAACCCCCTGCCAGTCCTGCAAACGCTCCGTCACTGGCTAGAAGGCCATAGCTTGCTGGGAGGGCATTCCTTGAAACAGATCTAGCCCAAGCAGTCTGCGAGTCTGCTTCTGACATGTCTGGCCAGTACTCGCTCTTGCGCTCGGTTGCCTATGACCAGTAGGACATGGATGGCTAGGAGAAGCAGAAAGGGGTTGCCAAGTGGTCTTCCTTGTAGGTGGACGCGCACAAGCATCCTTGGGAAACACACCTTTTGCTGCTGAGCTGAGGCTGATCCTTGGTATCTACACTGGAGTGGCAAAATGTCGCCCTCCAGATTTTTTTAAACAGCAGCTTCCCATCAGGCCTCGCCAGTGGTGAGGAGGGCTGGGGGAGAGTTGATCTCCAAGAACATCTGGAAGGTTCGCTTTGCCCGTCCCTGACCCAGACGGTAGCAACAGGACTTGCTGAGGCCACCTCTGTGATTGACGAATGGCACTTAGGCCTTGCTGCAGAACAGCAACCATTCCATGGAAGCGTTCTTTTGATTAGTGCCATCTTGGGAAGAGATGCTCACTCCTCTTCTGAGCAGCTTTGGAGAGTTTGGGGGGAGTGACTTTGTCTGGTTGGCTTCTAAAGTGGCTTATTTGGGGAGCGCTTGTCCTGTGTTGCCGGCCACCTTGCGTGGTTCCTAGATGGAAAGGTGATCCATCCGTGGATCGGCAAGAGGTTGGAGTTCCTGGGAGCCCACAAGCGAGTTGTGTTTTCTGCCCAGAATCTTCGGGGAAGAAATGGAAAAGTTTCTCTTTCCCAGAGTACTGCAGCAGGTGTCCTAGAAGCACATTTTTATAAAGGAGGTTGTTTCTACAGGTGGTAAAAGAACAGCACCGTGCCTGCTCCTAGTAAATCCTTCATCCACAGAGTTGTTAATAGTGGAAGGAAGTCCAAAGCAAGCACCTCCTATTACAAGCAGCAGGAGTTCTTTGGCTCCACTGTATGTTGGTGGAGCCATGCTTTCTGAGGTGTATGCCTTTCTCTGCAGAGATGACCCATTGCTTTTCTCCAGAGGGTATTTAATTTTTTAGCGCCCGATTGTCAGAGATGTAGAGTGTCTTTTCCAGAGGCCGCATCTTTCCCCACATGTTTGGTGGCCGTTTGTCCTCAAGAGGGGGGGAGCTTCCCACGACGGACACCCAAGGAGGTGTATAGCCAACTGCGTCGCCTCCACACATCTGCAGAAACCTCGCCAAAGAAGTGGCCTTCTCCTAAACAAGCCACCAGATCCGAGGCATGGTTTCTTGAACACGACTGCTCAGCGGTGGTGCAGGGTTAATCTTCAGCTATTCACGTCTCACTAATGAGGTGTGAATTCAGATCCCTCCGTCCAATTCCACAGAATATGTCAGTGCCGTTGCCTTTTCTCCTTGCCTGATTGGCTTTGTTAAAAATAGGGAAAGCAGTGATCGGCTGCTTGCAAGGTTTTTTTTTTAACTATCTCGTGCAGATAAACAGGGGTGTGTGTCTTCAAGTTGCCTAGAGGCACACATGCCACTTGGAATTCGCTTTAATGTTATTTGGGCTTGGTGTGTGTGTGTGCATGCGCGTATTTTCAAACAATACCACCTTAACCTGACATTTACAATCTCACATTGATTTATGTTTAATCTTATCAAAATAGTGGGATGCCTTCACCATTTCTTGGGAGATCTGTCATTGAGATAACTTGCAGGAGATAAAAATAAGTTCCCCGCTCCCTGAAAATAGCTGCAAGCAACGGCTTTAGCCGTTCTAACAAGATAATCAATTTAAACACAGCCGGCAATTGGTACATTCTTAGACCAGCCCTTGAGTATGGTGGTCCCTTTTGAGATGGAGATCTGGACGGTCTGCTGTAATTGTTCTAATCCAGATGTCAAAAGCAGACTTCTGAAAATGGGAACTGTTCTTGTTGTCACAGACCTCAGGCCAGCTGCCTTGGCCGGTCTGGTCACGGACGCCAGCTTCCTTTTTTCCACTGCTGGGACTCAACTGGTTGGGTCATTAAGAGAGCCAGAACAGGGAAGCAGGGCCACGCTGTGCGTTTCTGTCACTGCGTTTTCAGACTTGATGCCACGGCTGTGACTCTGGAAGGGTTGCTGCCCAGGCACCTCTTGGTCTATGATTGTCACTTGCAAGGCTGGATTCTGCCTTCAGAAGAACGGACTCGACTCGGGCAGAGGTTTCTCGTAGTCTCCTCTAATTATAACTTGAGCAAATCAGGCTTGAAAGCCAGCTTGAAATCTAGGTACCTGCCATGACTTGGCTGCTGATACCCAATTTGTTAACCAACCATTCCTTCAGCCGGGTTGTTGCTTTCTCACAGGGAATTGGGCCCCCAGGGCAGCATGGGGGGAATCGTGCAGCTGACGGGCTCCACATAGACCCTGGCCGTCCTGGCACCTCCTCCTCCTCACCCACCCTTGAGTCCTCTCGGGAAGTGTAGGATTGGCTTTAGAAAAGCATTTGGTGGGTTGGGCGGGTAGACCTTTAGACATAAAACAACTTTTAAAAAAATTGAAGTGAAGAACAAGTGCAGAGAGCCAGGGTCAGGAATGGCGCCCAGAGACCTCAGTGGGTGACCATCCTTCAAGTCTTAAACAGGCTGAAGGTGTACTTGAAGGAACCAGGTGTTGTTGAAACCCAGGTGTATTCTTTACAGATAAATGAAAGGGCTAGACCAGACGGCTAACTTCTTCCAGTGCCCACAAGCCCTGTGATTAATACTCTGCCAGTTTTAAATAGGTGGTGGAGATGATTATGTGTTTCCTAAAATAGGTAAGAGTGGTATCTTAGACTGAATTATCTCCCTCCTCCTTAAAAAAAAGTAGCTGGAAGCTTCCTGACTAAAGACTGGCAGATATTTTAAAATCACTTTCCCTGTGCATGCTAATGAGCCACAGATCAGCAACGATCAAATCTCCTTATTTAAAACAGTCGTGCAAGCCAACACACGTACAGGAAACGGCCGCCGCTTGCCGATCCACTATGGGCTTGCTGCAGAATAGTTTAGAAAGATCATCTGTCACAGAGTGGATCCTATCTGCCATTATCCAATAGTTTCATTAGGAGGAGGATGACTTTATTGTGGTGGGGGCAGCTGGTGACAAGGGAGAATGACAGGAAGCCCTTGAATCGCATTATGGATTAATAAGCAGCTGGGGCTTCGTGTGGGCCGCATGCTGAGGTGGCAACGCTTTTGCTCGCTTGCGGCGTTCCCTTTGAAGACAAACCTTATTAGAGCTGGATGTAAATGGGGAGGGGGTGGGGTGGGGGAGCAGGGAGAGGCATCGTCATGCAGCAAAGGGGGCTCTGAGCCTATTTGGGGTGAAGGTTTCGGTCCCCAATCCCAAGGAAGGGACTGGATCTGTACCTCAGCATCTGCTGGCCATTTCTCTGTTAACGATTAGGTAAACCATTAGGATTTCAGCCGGCAGAGTCAGGTTGGCTTATGGACTCTTCATTGGTTTCTTGGAGGGTTTTTTTTGGGGGCGGGAGTTTCCCCAAGGAAAGGAGGCTTTTGTCCATGAGGATATATTTTCCTTGTTTGTATATAACGATCCTGCTGTCGCATCAGCCTAGTTCTTTGACTGATACGTACATATTCGTTACTGTTTTAATTGACCTGCACTGATTTGTTGTTTCATTTGCTGGTTTTGTGCCACAAAAAAAGGGGGGGATGAATTCCCTCAACGTTATCTGATAATCCGTCTGGTGTGTCCTCATCTGAAGTCCCGAGTTGAGAAATTGCACCGAGCGTGGAGTCTGCCGTGTGGGTTGTCCAGCAGATGTTTGCAATATTATTTGGCATTTCTGCAGAGCTGGCATAAAGCATCCCCCGTGTAACAGAGCAAAGTGTCTCTTCTGTTTGCACAAGATACCGGGAAAGTGACAGAGCTCTTGCGGATGAGTTCAGACCTTCCTGTTGGGTAGCTGTAAGGTTATCACAGAGCCCTTTGAGTTCAGCCAGCATGGAGCAGCTGACATCAGGATATAGCAGAGAGACTTTATGGTGGATGGAGGGAAAAGTCCTGTCGATTCTCTTTGACAAAGCCTGTGGCAGAGAATCCCGGGAAGGCTTGTCTGAGGAGGAAAATGAGCGTCCAGGTGTCATTTGTTACACGAGGCAGAGTCAGCCTGCTGGCCTGCCCGCTTTCTTACAGATGCTTCATGAGCGGCCCAAGCTCCCTGACTAGAGTGAGTTGCCTGCCTGCCACAGTTCTCCTCCCTCTTTCTCTCTGGATGGCACTGAAGTTTTTGTGCTGCTTTGTTTTTACTTGGTACTAGTCACACACTAGGAATTGCTCTCCACCGCATCTGTGGAGAGTTAAAGGACCCACAAGCTGGTCCCTGGGAAGCAGCCAAACAGACATTCCTTCAGACATTTTCAGATTTGTAAACACTAAGCTCCTAGGATAAAGGATGGAGAAGCTCCTTGAACCTAAGAGCCCAATTTTGTCTTAGATGGTTCTTTATTCCAGTGGTGGGCAGGTCCAAAGGCAGAAGGGTAGGTCTAAACATGCTAGCAGACTTTAGCTTGAGGCTGTGGATTCCTGGTGGTGGGAAGATTCTGAACCAAAGCCAGGATGTCCTCAAACAATGGAGTCACTGGGTCATGGGAAACCCACAGAGGGCCAGATTTGGCCCCAGGGCTTTAAAGTTCCACACCTCTGCTGCAGACAATTCTGGAGGATCTGTGACTCAAGGACTCAAGGAAATGTGTTTGTAAAAACCTGTTAAGGTGCTATTGCGAAGCCATGGCCCACATGAACACCTTAAGTCTTCTCCTCCATCACTCACCTGCTGGTGTTTTGTTTTGTTTTCCCCAGATGGCAGCTCTTCAGAGTCCCTTCTACGGTGATAAAATGAACCTGTTTTCTCTCTGCCAGAAGATAGAGCAGTGCGATTACCCACCTCTTCCGGCTGAACATTATTCTGAAAAGGTGAGCAATGGGCCCCGCGTTCTCTCCTGCTGGCCTTTCAGAGACGCCAACCCCCACCCCACCCACACATACCTTATGGAAGAAGCAGTGCCGTGGCCCATTGCCAAAGCCATTTCGAAATGCCTCCTACAGAGCCAGGCCTTCACAGTCTCCTCTCCCCTCCACCAATCTTCTGCGTCCTACTGTGACCAGCCTTCCACCAAATATCTTTGGCCAGATTCACGTGCAATTGCAAAAAGGCAGGTCACCAGCAGTAGACCAGGGTGTGGCTGTGTGAATGGCTGGCGGGCTTTTGATCCATGTGTGTTTTGTAGGGTTCGCCCAGTCCTGTCAGATTGTTACAGGATCTCCTGCTCTGCTTCATCTGCGTGCTTTGCTTCCCTGCGCCCGTAACCCCACTGCCGCTGCTCACACTTTTCCTCGGGACAAGGCAGTTGGCGCTGTGCAGAGACATCCATCACCTACGGGCTGCCTTCTAGCCTGGCATTCCCCAGCTGGGCACCCTCCGGAAGTGCTACTCTGAAGTCTGCGTTGTGGGAACCTTCGTTTCTAGTCCAGAAGCTCCTGTGATTGCTGTTCTTGAGCTTCTACGGCTGCCACAGTGGCCTTTCCTATGGGTAATACTTAGGGGAGTTCTGTGAGTGGAGGGTAGGATTTAAAGGGGGCAGCTTTTTGGACTGTTCCATACACTCTCTGCCTCCTCCTCCCGGCTTTAACACAACTGTGTAGATGTGGCTTGATTGCTCATAAACCGGTTGTTTCAAATACCAGTGCTTTTGCTTGGCTGCTGTCATGGCCGTACCTTTTCTTACTGGACCTGCTTGGCCCTGCAGCCCTTGCTGTGGCTTTTTGAATAAACCCCTCTAGCTCTTCCCGTGTCCCTCCTCAGACTTCCCTGGTGATGCACAAATTTGAGCACCATCTCCCTTCTTGCAGGCTTACGCTCCTGCGCAAAGCTAGCTCGGCCTACGTGTGCCGTTCTTTGCTCGGCCAGGCTGCTGTTTTGACTTTCTGAAACCTGCTGTTTGGCAGCAGGAATTAGTGCGGGGCTGACAGATGTGCTTCCTGCCTTTCCAATTACTGTCGGGTTGCCTCCCTCTGGCAGTGCTAAAAAAAGTGTGTGCAGTCTAGTGATACGATTCAGGGTGAGAAGGCTGGTTGAAAGCTCAGAAAGTGGCAGGTCCCGGAGAACTCATGTCCAGATGGTGTATTTGCGTGCAGCAGGACGCAGGAGGGCAATCTTGCTGGGTGAACTGCTGCTGGTGGATGAAACCAGATTAGTACCTAGAGGGGCATAAGAGTCCAGATCAGGGATTTGAAGGAGTACCTTTGTGGGAGGAACAGACCTATCGTAAAGCGATGGGAGGCCTCAGTGGTATGGTGGTGTATCTTACTGTGCTGGTCTTCAGCTCTGTCCCGAGGCAGCTGTGTCTCTCTTTCTGTGCGCATTTCACGTGTGTAGAACGTGGCAGCTAAACTCTCCAATATAGATTGGTCTGTGGAGTGGGGGGGTTGTATTGTCCCTCGGTTGGGAGCGGCCACTGGGCATTTCCATCCTAGTTTGACCATGCAAAGAGAACAAACCGACATAGCCTCCCATGGGAGCGGCCACTAGGCATTTCCATCCTAGTTTGACCATCCAAAGAGAACAAACCGACATAGCCTCCCAGGAGCGGTGCCTGATCACCGGTGGTCTTGCCCTTGGAGTTGCACTTCCCTGGTGCAGAAAGCAGGGCTTCCTGGATATGAGGGTGCCCCATGATCCATCTCTTTCTTCTGGCAGTCCAGAAGCTCCACACCTTTCTTGCATTTCGCTGTAGTGTGGAAGGTGTTCTGCTAAAGCACCCCCTCTGCAAGTGGGACGCAGCCTTTCTTACTCCTGTGAGCAGCTCTACCTGGTGCAGGGGACCTGATGGTGGGACAATCATGCATTTAATTACCATTAAAATAATTGGCTCAGTTGCTACTGGGAGGGATGGGAGAAGATCAGAGGCTCCCGGCAGTTTCTCTTGGTGCCACAGGATGTAGAATCCTGCTTCCAGGGGCTGTGTAATTAAAAACTCTTGTCTTTCAAGTGCAAAACGAAAAAGGTTGGGAGGTGGGAGCAAAAGCCGCTTCTGCACTGCCTTGATTATGCAGGTAGTCACCTGCATAATCAAGCAGGAGGGTCACTGCCAGGGCAGTCTGTCTGTCTCCCCTCGCTAGCAGGCCTGAAGCGACCATCTTGCCAGAGAAATGATTTCTTCTCCAGTCTTCAGCCTTCCCTGCCAGGGCTGGCTCAGATTATCTGTTGACAAGCCGCCACATGTTGGACGATAGCCTCCCTGACCTCCACTTTGCAGGGCCAACACATCTGGAGGGCAGCAGGTTGGAGAAAGCTGCTAGAGGCTTCTCTCCACAGCCCTCTTCCTCTGGTGTCTGTTCTCCGATTGCTGTCCCTGGAAAGCTGCTTATTGTCATCTCTGCCCCGGAAGAATTCAAGTCATGAAGGAATCCAGGGTGGGCTTCATGGCGCTCCCATCTTCTAGCACTTGCCCAGCTGTGCTGATTGTACATTCAGGTTTAGCTAGGTGTTCGTAGGGTGCTCCGTTGGCCAGGGACGGTGGCACAGGAATGTTCAGGAAGGGAATGGGGCCTTGCTGCACCACCAGGCGTGTCTCCTTAGCAAGGAACAGGTGTCCCACGGGCCTCTCTTTTTTGTGTCCTTCCAGTTGCGAGAGCTAGTCAGCATGTGCATATACCCGGATCCTGATCAGAGACCCGACATTGGCTACGTGCACCAGCTAGCAAAACAGATGCATGTGTGGACCTCCAGCACTTGAAGAGTCGGCCGGCGCGCTCCAAGAAAAGCCGTCCCAGCTTAGTCTTACTTGAACCTTCTGTCTCCGACAAATAACCATGAGGTGCCTCGCCAAACTCCAGCGGGAAAGTTGAGCCCTTCCTAGGGAAGACGCTTTCCGATTTCTGCAGGCCATTTGCAGGAGCGCTCGCAGGGCGGATCCGCTCTCCAGTGAAGGCTGTGAGGTGCTGCTGCAAGTGTGCGTTGCTTTCTAAAAAGCCAATAACATGTTACAGATGTAGATCACTTTAAAAGATCCTTTCTTAAAACTGTTGTGTGTAATCTAGGTTAGGCTATAATAGCAAGGGTTTCTCATTTGTGTTGTTCGACACGCCCCTTGTATCTTAACTAATGTGAAATATTGAAATAATTCCTTTGGTGAAATCACTTTATACTAATGTAAGAATTACAGTAGATTTTTTTTGATGTAATTTGTGTAACGGCTACTTTGCCTCTTTTGCTAATGGTTCATAGCAAGTTCGGTTTCTAGTTCATATATTTTTTAAAAGAAACGTCCAGCCTGGAGTTTTATATTCCCCTCCATTGTCAGAATGGGAGCGAGGGAACATGTTTGAAGATTTTTTAAAAAAAATGAATTTAAACGTTAGGACGAGTATTTTATGATGCAGTTTATTTGTCACTATATGGGTGCATTCAGTGAGGGCTCCAGCATAGGCCTCAAACCAAAGCTTTTTTTGGGCCGGGGGTGGGGTCAGTTTCTGAGCCAGTGCTGGCAGATATTATGAGAATCTCAGTAGCCATTCTTACATGACCAGTGTTAACTGTAAGCAAAAAAAAAGTCTGGGCTTGGGGGAAAGATACACTTTTTGTAAAATTAGTGGTAGTTAAGCCACCTATAACTATTCTGAAGCAGTGTTTTCGACATGCATTGACCATGAAATAAGGTAAGTTAAAAGAAATCCTGTTGAAATGCAAAACGATCACCCACACTTATTAACTGTGAAAACTCAGATATGAATGTGAATGTTTTAGACAAGCTGATTTGAAGGAAGTGAAAAGGCTTAAAATTTTCATTTACATGGGTTTTAGGTCAGCCAGATCAGTTTCACTGACTTGGTGGTTCCTTTTCTTTTGGCCACAGAAAACCATCACTGGATGGCTGCTAGTCAGCTGGCGGGAAGCCAGGTTCCTCTTTTGGATTTTGGGGGGGAGGGGTTGCTTGGTCTGCTTCAGTTTTTCTGAAGATGATGTTCTTAAGACAGGGAAGACCAGTACTTTATAAGGCGAAACGTAGCCTCTAGGCTTGGTATTCGAAGCAGCTTCTCTCCTCCCGAGAAACAGAAGAGTAAGCATCTGTCCTTCCAGTGAATTTCTCTCACTTGCTCACTCCCTGCCTTTAAAGGACGAGGGCAGTGCCAACAACTAATCAATTTTGAAACAATCCTCCAAAGTGTTAATATCAGTGTTTAATTGCTGTGAAAGATGCTGGCAGTGCAAACTCAGAGGGAAGTCCAGCCTATCGATCTCCTTCGAGAGCTGGGGAAATTTCAGCTTTATTGCAAAGACAGCAGCACTGTCTTCTACAATTCTGTGCTCAACTGCTTATAAACTCTTGCGGGTGGGGGCTTTGTCTTTCAAGGCAAGTAAAGGGTATTTCCTTTATGGCGCTTCAGGTTTCCTTTGAACTATATATGACTGTCTTTGCAGCGGGTAGGTTGCAACGTGGAATAATAGGTCTCTCTGGCTGTTGGGAAGCTTCAAATTTCAGGTGGGTCTGTTAAATCTGGTCTCCGCTTGCTCTGTAAGGTCTAGTAGTGCTTCAGTAAATGTATTTCCAAAGAAATTTTTGCAACTGTGCATTTTTAGGTAAGACATAAAATGATTTACAAAATAAAGTTTTCTTTGTAAAAAGAAGTGTTCTTAAGGGTTAATGGCTATTTTTCCATATATTTATGTAATCTTGCCTTTTAGGGGGCGCCTCCTGAAGAACTGTGCTGCCCAGGAATCACCAAAACAGTTGCTCCTTTTCTTTTCTTTTTACATTAACAAGAACATGAATACCAACATGAATTTGATCAAACTCCGGGAGGCAGTGGGAGACAGGAGGGCCTGGTGTGCTCTGGTCCATGGGGTCACGAAGAGTTGGACACGACTTAACGACTAAACAACAACATTAAAAAGAAGTAGAACTGAGACTAACATACTAACATGTGCTGGATAACAAGAAGTAGGACTGAGACTAACATACTAACATGTGCTGGATTATGGAGAAAGCCAGAGAGTTCGAGAAAAACATCTACTTGTGCTTTATTGACTACGCAAAAGCCTCTGACTGTGTCAACCATAACTATGGCAAGTCCTTAAAGAAATGGGAGTGCCTGACCACCTTATCTATCTCCTGAGAAATCTATATGTGGGACAGGAAGCAACAGTTAGAACTGGATATGGAACTGATTAGTTCAAAATTGGGAAAGGAGTACGACAAGGCTGTATATTGTCTCTCTGCTTACTTAACTTGTATGCAGAATACACCATGCAAAGGGCTGGACTGGAGGAATCCCAAACCGGAATTAAGATTGCCAGAAGTATCAACTTCAGTTATGCAGATGATGGCTCTCATACAGTTTCAGAGTATCTACCATAATTATTCTTTCCCCCAATAGGTCATTAAATGAGCAAATTGGTCAATTTTCATTGGGTTTTTTAATTATTATTTCCCCATAAAGAATGCAAAGCCCAACATACAGAAAAGAATTTCCATAAACAAGCCAGATGCATATCCCCCCCACCCCAGCCCAGACATACTTTCTGCAAATCAAGATGTGTCCATTGTTTGCACGGTCTCATCGGCAACATCAAGCACCAAGAGAGTGACTTTTTCAGAGAGCACACCTGTAGTGCCTTTCTCACACCTGTATCTCCCTTGCCTGTTGAGGAAAAAGACATAATTATGAAGTAACATCACTCTGAAAAGCTCCACCTCTCAGAAGCCACGAAGAAACAGTAAGAGGAGTGTGAAGTAATGATATCTGTTCTGAGACCAAAAACAGGATTTTTAAAACTGAGAAATCACAGGAAAGTAAAACTTGGGGGGGGGGGGGGGAAGACTGGGATTGTCTACAGCTTAGGAGCCCACACAGGTAAGTGCCTCTGGCATGTAGAATCAGGGCACAGTACGGACAAGTGATTCATGAATCCACACAGTTTGCTCAATGAAAACTAGATTCAGTAGCTGTTGAGCTCCTTCTAGGATTTCCTATAGCAATGCTCCAGAAAAGACAAGATGAGGGAACCTATCCATAAATTTGATGAAACAAAATGGATACTGGTGGTTGTAGGTTTTTCAGGCTCTTTGGCCGTGTTCTGGAGGTTTTTCTTCTAACGTTTTGCCAGTCTCGGTGACCGGCATCTTCAGAGGACAGGAGTCAGAATGCTGTCTAAGTTCTAACTCCTCTCCTCTGAAGATGCCATCCACAGAGACTGGTGAAATGTTAGGAAGAAAAACTTCCAGAACATGGTCAAACAGCCCGAAAAACCTACAACAACCATCCGGCTGTGAAAGCCTTCGAGAATACAAAGTGGATATTCTATGCATGTGCCCTGCACACCCAAACAGTCACTGCAAAAAGGTCTTCTAGAAAGGGTTTTCTCCCATGCTTCTCTGGGTACTCTCCAAACGCTACACAAACATTAAGATTTAGCTAAGGGCCAGCTATCAAGTAAGAACTAGCAGATGCAGGATGAATGCTGCTTGCTCAAAAAGGAGAAACACACAAACACACCACAAACGTACCTTTCCCCTTTCTTGTTGGGCGTATCATAAGGACGAAGGAAGTCCAGCTTGTTCTTGCTGAGGACGCAGAGGTCAATATTGCTGCCAGAGCCCAAGTCGTTGTAAATGCCAGCTGCAATTGCATCTCTCACAAGCTGTTTGGCTTCTTCCTCCTAAGAAGGAAAAATTACGAGCAAACACCAGATCGTTAATCCCTGCTCTATGCGCAAGCAGTTGCACCATGCTGGTCAGGAGGTACTTTCCCTTATGTGCTTATCTTTGGAAGGAGGAAAAGCAGAAGATGGAACTGGTTTGGAAAGCATGCAGGTGCTACTGAACTGGAGATATTGCTCAGTTCAAATACTCAGAGAATGTGGCTATAACTATTACAAGAGGTAGAGAAAAATGAGGATCTGTACCAAGCTGAATTTCAGGGTTCCGTTGGCCACCAATGGAAGAAGTTCCATATAGGGAGGGATTTCAACTTTTGTATGTTTTCAAATCAGCACATTATTTGTCACCTAGCGCCCCAAAAGGCAAACCTAAACCATCTGCTTCATAAATCATTAAAACAGCAACCCAAGCCTTCTAGGTATTTAAACCTCCCAGAGACTGGCTAGTTACACATCCTGTTCAAGTAGCTAAAGCTCTCCTTGTAATACTTCTATAACAGCAAACGCTAAGAGCAAATAACCCCTTTCAATCAAATATTTTCCAGTGAAGACCAGATGTTTTGCCCCTGAGCAAAATAGAAAAATGGGGTGGGGGGAAAAAACCCAATGCCCATTACTTTAGCACCCTCTACAGGCTCACTGAGGGAAAAGGATTACTGTACTATTCCAGAAGCTCTTCTCGACAATGATCTGTGGGGTTAAAGAGGGATCTGTTCACAATCAAGTTGCTGGGGATCAGCCACAGTGTTAAGCTGAAGTTCCTCTTTTCAGGAGTACAGATCACACGCTCCTCAAGTATGCCACCATGATCCTGTCCCCTACACACGGAAGTTCCTCTTTTCAGGAGTAGAGATAACACGCTGCTCAAGGGATCTTCCAAATATGCCACCATGATCCTGTCCCCTACACACTGCCAGCCAGAACACCACTGTACTTTCAAGCGAGCAGTGGGAAGATTAATATGCAGTTTGAATATTGAACCCACAGAGAAGTGATTGTGTTTTTTCCCCTTCTTTGCAACGCAATGCTTCTGGCCCAGCTACACCTGCAGCCACCACCTGCCTCAGCCTTGGCCAAGGTGTGCAAACCTTTCTAGCATCCAGGGTATTTGCTTCACTGATAAGTCTGTGCTCAGCCAAACCTGTCCATTTACGAGGAAAGAAGCACAACATTTGGCAGGTGCAGAAAAAACAACACATGGCGTTACTCCTCAGGCGGGACAGTGGCTGCTGTTTTTCAAAGTCTCAACTTTGGACATTTGGCAGGCGCAGGAAAAAACAACACATGGCGTTACTCAGGCGGGACAGAGTGGTTGCTGTTTTTCAAAGTCTCAACTTTGGACAATTACTTGAGTAAACCCTCAAAACTACTTAAACTTTCATTTTAAAGCTCAACTGAGCTAAATCCCAGTATGGTTTAAAACAGCGTTCAAAGTAACACCTGCCACATCAGGCGCATGTACCATTTCGAGTACATTTTGTTGAATCTTTCCTGTTAATTAAGGAGCAACACATATGACTGGAATAAGACTTCTGCACAAGACGACTGGAACCGCATAGTGAAATCCATGTTCTGCAAATGTGCCAACTTCACTACTGAGTGAGGGCCTCGGAAGATGAAACACACCGGTTTATCGTGAAACTGCTGACAATCACAGCCTTAACTATGGTGGCACAGATGACGCAGTCTAATAATTAAATCTTTTTTTAAAAAGTACCCTAAAAGTTCCAAGTATTATGAAAGGGGCACTTCTTTCTTTATGGTTGCAAAGCCCAAGTGAACTGGGAATATCATTCCCGGAGGCCTGTGGCCGCTCTTTAAATGAGATTGCAGTAAGAGTGATGTACTGTAATACAAGTCAGCTGTGACAAGTGGCCCTTTATAGACCGCTCGCCTCGCCTCCGCTGCCATCTCACACGATGCGTCCCAAGGCTCCAATGTGCTCTTCCATTTACCGCCACAAGACAAATGGGCAGCGCTTGTAAAAGGCACAAAGAGGTCCAGGCCGGCCGCGTAATGGTCACCACAGATGTGCCGAACTGCCAGAGGGGGGGCCACGGCAGACCCCCAAGTTCATTAAACTGACCAGTAATGGATCTCTCAAAACGCGTCGAAGGAATTGGAGCAGTAAAGGCGAAAATAAATAACTCAGCATGGAGGGCTCATCCGAAACGGTATTTGATAAATTATTTATAACGGAAGGAGATTGTCTGCATTTAATTTTGGAGCCACTGGTAGCATCTTTAAAAGATGATTTATGTGCTGTAATGCCATTAAACTCTATATTGGCCCACTGCTGGCTGTAAAGTCTGCTGAGATTTAGAGAATGAGTTTTAAAGTGTCACAGCAACATCACAGCAGAGAGACAGTATCAAATCTTTACTTTAAGCCCGTTATCTGGAGAGTTGCATTTTGTAGACGCTCCAAAACTGATAGATTACCTCTCTCCAACTGCAGTGAAAAGAGTCCCAAACAGTCGTTTCTAGTCGCCCACTCCCCAGTCCACCTACAGGATGGAACATTTTTACATCTCTCTTGCAGACGAGGGAAAGCAGAGGACTCAAAATCCAGGCTCTGAGGATGGCTTCCTTTGCGTAGGAAGACACAGCCTGGTGTGTCTGTGGCAAACCTTCAACCACTTCGTTTTTATTTCTGGATGCACTTTTCCCTCCAATGAAATAATATGTGACTGTTTAAGGCATGCTACTCATAAAATCTGGACAGGGAAGGAAGTTAATGAATTTACATTCACATATTTAGAGCCTGCAAGCAGTTTTTACACCTCTGGAAACGGTTCCATGCTCATGAAATGCTACCCACAACCCCAGTGCTGTCTGGATGGTCCACAGTTACATCTTTTTCCAAACAGACTGCCACAGTTCCAGTGTGCACATCAGAATTACGTTCAATGCCCTTTCTCCACCAAAAAAACAAAAAACAAAAACTAAAGTGTACAAATTACTTTAAGTGAGAATCTGAGAGAGATAACTGGGCTGAGAGGATGGAGGCAAGAGGCAAGTCGGAGAAGCAGTAAAAATCTATATAGAAGTGGTGGGAATTTGGGACTACAAAAACGATAGCTTTTGAAGGATACCTAGACCTAGAGGCAGATAATTAGACCATGGAAGAGTAATCGGCAGCCTCGATTGTGTAGAAATGCGGGTACGCCTGTCTTCTGGGAGAAATTGTGTAGAGATCAATACGTAACTGGAAGCAAAGCTAAATCTGCTGGGAAGCTTCGGGAGAGAACTGACCCAGCATCACCACTCCAAATCAAAAGGATTTGATTACTTCATACCTCTCCCACCCCGTTTTTTTTAACCTCAAAAGAAGAAAAAGCTGGAAGTTGACCACTTCATCTAGGCTGCAGCCTGTGACTGTTTCCATTTCATCTTCAGAGCTGACAGAAAAAACACACTGACAGAGAGTTGCATTCTCGTGTTCCCCGTTTCCCACAGAACGAGAGGAAAGCAACAGACATTGACCACCAGTGTCTGAAGCACAAACTTCTACTAAATGAAAAACACTGAGAGACTCCACTTGCCTTTTGAGCAATTAATCAGGAATGATTGTATCAGAAGCCTTTTAAATTCTACACCGAGTGATGCTTCTGCTTTTGGGCCGTGGTTTTACAGGGCTCCGACAGCATTTCTCTCATAACCCATGTAAACGAGACGAGATCTCAAGATGGCCACCACCTCAACCTCAGCTGCACTCGCTTATGCAATTCTGTCTTGTGCACATATGTGCACGTGAGGAAGCTACCTCTGCCTAGCAGACGGTGCCACTGCTATAAAGGCAAGCTGTGTGAACGTGGAGGCGTTTCACCGAACAGGTAGACAGCACAAGTAATAGAACCAACTTGCATTTATTGCTCACTGTTTCTCCCTCTGTTACAACTATCCAGCAGTAAAAATGAGATTAAAACATCAAATGCACAGATGCTCAACATGTTCCTAATCCTGTGACAGTGCCAGGAAGTGAAGGGGAACCTATTCCTCACCATGAACCAGATGCAACATGAATTCTTGCCTTTACAAAGCAAGAAAGCAAACAGATGCCCTGCACAGTCATCCTGCAAAGCTCAAGGTGGCAACGAAACTGGTCTCCATTCTATTTCTCAAAATACCAAAGAGTACCAGAAAAAGGGCACTTCTCTAGTATGTGTGATGATTTTTAAAGTATGCATTCCCCACCAGCAGTTGCGAGGACTGTCCTCTATGAAGGATGTTGCACCTCGATTCTCAGAAAGCTGCAACAGTATACCTCACTTTTGGCACCTGTCCTGGAGCAAAGCAAACTGAAGCTACAACAGTATACCTCAATTTTGGCACCTGTCCTGGAGCAAAGCAAACCTTCAGGCTGGTCCGCTAACTTGCCTTTTCTAAGAGCATAACGTGCCTCCAACAGGAGAGATGTGCCAGAATTTACTACTGCAGGAGGCACAAAATTATGTGAAACTGGTGTGTGTGTGTGTGTGTGGATTTGTGTTTCTGGACTCCCAAATCTCAGGAGGAAATACCTGGAGATTCCGGAAGCTGGAATCCAAAGAGACATACCTCTGTGGCCCTCATTGAAAACGCTGTGTGGTGAAAAGGCCCATTCTTGTCCCTTGAGACCTCTGTACCAAGCAGAGCTTTCGAGACTGCTCTAAACATTTCTCGTGAAGAGAGCCCCGACTGTTAGTCCAAGCGTCGCCATCGACTAAGTAAGCAGACAGCTTGTTAATTGCTCTCCATCCTGGGAAACAGACGACGCATTTTAAGAGATTTTCAGGGAAGAAAGAAATAAGCTTGGCTGCTCTTTAATCACAAATATCTACTTCCCCAAAGCTTTGTTTGATGTGCTGCCGGGCTTGAGCGCAGCGGAAACTATTTTGTGGGAACAAGAGGGAAGCCTTCTTCAGCTGGGACTGCAAGATACACAGGTAAGACGTTTGCATTCACCCCACATGAAATCTGAGGATCAGCATGTCAGGATCTGAAGCAGGCAGAAGGAATAGTATGAGCGTCCTGACGCTGGGCATTTTGTAAAGATGCAGTGCTGCATGATTTGACACGTACACACGAGAAACAACCAAACACAAAAAGGAAGAAATTTAAACTTCGTCAGGCTTTGTTCCAAAGTATCCCCCCCCCCGAAATATCAATTTCCTTTAAAAGGCTTTAATTACAGCTGATTGGACTGAGGCTGTTCTCACCATGCGCTGTGCAAATGCTTGTAAGCCGGGCCTCCCTTCCTCACATCCTACAACACAAGTATAATAAACCCTGTGAATATTTCATATCAGTGTGAAATATGCTGGAGTATCAATTCAACATCTGTTGTCTTTAGGGCTCTGGAGTCCCGCAGTGGCCCTTTCAATTTGTAATTGAGTTCTATACTGAATTAATCAGCAGTTTGTCTTTTTTAGGAAAGAAATCTTTCCTCGTAACCTCAATTTACATTAACAATTTATATGAAATTACCTGCCAAGGCAGAAAACGTACGATTCTACGACTACCGTTCAGAAACACTGGCTCCTCTATTTCACTTCCCATACAAACAGCGATGCAAACAATTCCAGGGGATAAAAACCTCACCTTTCTGGAGCCAGCTTGCACTTAATTTTTTTTAAAGGGGCTGGCCGAGGCTGCATCAAAACTTTTGAGCCCTGCAAGGGAAAACGCCAACACATAGGAGATGCTTTTACTTTGTTACTGGTGGCTTTCCAAAAGGACATGCATTTTCCGAGGCACTCGCTGTGGCCAAATAAACCAGACTTGTGTCGGGAAGCAAAGTTCAGATCAGGTGAACACTAGCAGAACTCAAATCTCAACTTCTTAAATCCAATCCTCGTAGTCCAAGCTCTCCCGGTGCCAGAGAAGCACTGAATCTCAGTACGAGGAGGAAGAGGAAGGAAAAGACGGCTTACGGGACTGTGAGTGGTGTTGCAGAAGACGGAGGGGTGTACTGCCCACTCCCCGTTTGGTATTAAAGGCACCCTGGTTCTAGGTCTGTTGACAAAAGAGGGAAGAACTCTTTGCCCCTGAGAAGGGGACCAAAATGAACTGCTTAGTTTGCATAAACTTTTTTCTATGATGACTAAAAATAACCACAGACGTCAAGGGTTTCTGGATACCCACATGATGAGAGGACAAAAAAAACAACAACCTGTAAATGATACCAACTGGTTCCTGTAAAGTTCAGGCAGAAGCGGCTATGTGTCGGAAGTGTTCCATTTCAAACACATGCTGGATGAACGGAAACATCTAGCCAAAAATCTTGCATCGTAACTAATTCTCACACCACACACATTGACAAAGAGAAGTGTTAAGTAATCATAACTTTGCCAGAGGAGAACCCCATCCCTGGAGTCAAGGAAGGAGGGAAGCTTAAGCCCAGCAGATTTATAAGCTGCCTTGGTTCCTCTAGGCCAGCGATGGCTAACCTTTTTGAGCCCCAGTGCCCAAATTTGGGGGGGGAGGGAACAGCGGGCAGCGGCGGAAGCAGAAGTGGTAATCCCAGGCACGGAGGTGCCTCCAGTCCCCACTCCGGATCCGCCTCCAATTGTACCCAACCCCTGCCAATGCCAGCTGCTCTGGATCCTGGCTCGCCGCCTGTTGGGGCACTAGCACCACAGCTGCAGCCGCCTCCTCAGGTCTGACTACCAGGGGTAGCAATCCGGCGACTTATGGCTCACATGCCCGCAGAGAGGGCTCTGCATGTCAGCTGTGGCACGTGTGCCGTAGGTTTGCCATCACTGCTCTAGGAGAAAGGTGGCATATAAATATTTAAATAAATAAATCGTTGGACTTCTAGCTCCCAGCATCCTCTCAATCAGAACAGCCAGTGGTCCTGGATGTTGTAGGTGGAGTCCACTAACATCCAATGGATCAATGAGTACCCCCACTCTTGCGCATTGTATTTGTGGGAAAACAATTAAAGATCACTCACAACTAGAAAATCTCTAGCTTTGCTTTTAAAACGCCTGGTTTGTTCTACCAATAACTCGGCAACATTAAATTAATTTTGTTGCAAACGGGTAGAAAGGCTTTGAGCCAGTCCTGTTAGAAAGAGAAACCAAACTAACTACCCCTAATGATGCTAGCATTGAAGAGAAAAACGGAGGGAGAAACCTTATGGTTTTTGGAGAAGACTGTATTTACTCCGCAGAACCTCTGCGATGGGAATGTGCCCTAGAAAAAGCTATAAAAAGCAGAGAACACAACGGAAAGAGAAAGGATGCGGTGTGCTTTTCTGGCTCGCAGCCTGATCTACTGTCACACATACACAAAACGCAAGGCACTTATTTTTGTAAAGGGATCTAACTTTTCTTTTCTTTTGCATTTGCTTAAGCTGTGTGCACACCGCCAGTGGGGATGCACGTAACTCAAGGCAGCTCCCCAGCTTAATGTGGACGCTCTCCCTTGATCTCCATTGTCTGCTGGCAAACTTCCCAGTGAGCGGTCACCTTCCCATGGAGTCATTAAAACGCCGAGTGTCAGCTGGGGGGATTAGCCAGAAGACACCCACACCTGAGCCCTGTAGCAGGGACACCGGCATTTTTGATCAGTCCCACTAATGAAGGCCCCATTCATATGCAGCTTGTCACTGCTCCTGAGCGTCACTCAGCCACACAGGCAGCCTAAATGAGACTGATGAGGTGACAGATCAAGATTAAAGTTTGGGCTGCGGTTTAAAAAGAAAAACAGTCCCTCCTCTGAGCAAAGAGAGTCAAAATGCTCAACCTAATCATTTCCCAATAGAGGCTTGAACACAAAACATGATTCTTGGATCTCCATTCTCAAGAACATCCTTAACAGACCAGTATCATTTCATGTCCATCCTGAACGACCCCTGAAAGAGAGTTCCCTCCTGATAGTTATCTCCTTACTCTCCAGAACCATGGTTGGAATGTAACGTGGCAGGCATGGAAGCCACCTTTCTGCCTACTTCTGAGCAAGTGACCTGTGCAAAGCGCCGGTAATGCATCCACCCACCCCCTTCCAAAAGAGAAGATTATTCTCTAGTTGGGAATCACAACTGGACGGAGGCCGTAACTTCCAAGCATCTTCAGCTTGGCGATCGCTAGTTAATTTTTTTTTACAATAAAGCTCCCTTCCTGTGGGAGCACACCAATCTGCCCGAAGCGACGACCCAACCTGTGATATCAGCCTCACCCTGAAGCAAGGAAAAGCGTCAATCTCCTTCCTCCCCGAGTAGCTGCTTAGAGACAGTCTTCCATGCCTGCCTATAGTCTGATGATGGCACCGCCTTGACGTAAAATCAAAATACTTAAAAAGGTAAGAGGATGCTCTGGTGTCAACCCAGTTCAAGGGTGGAATCAAGAACAGCCTCCCAAGGAACAGGGACTTCTATGGCTCTGTAAAAAGCAGCACATTCTGCAGAAAGAACGAAAAAGGGATTTTTGGCCCAGAGTCAGCCAAGGCTGCATCTCCCTGCCCACATTATTTCAGGTGCCCTGACGAGCACCTCTTCCTGCCTTCGTTTGTGTCTAGAGGCATCCACAGGCCTTTAAGGAGTAAAGCGGTTGCCATTTTTGGCAAGCTGTAACTCTCTTTCTCCGAGGCTGGCATTCACCTATCTACAGGGCAAGCTCCTGGGCAAAGCTCGTGGCTTCACGTTCCTACTTGGGGAAGGGCTGCCACACTTAGCCCCGACAAAGCCACTGCTACCTAAGACTCCCGACACCCTGCCTTGCAGGGAGGGGGACGGGCCCGGCTGGTGTGAGGATGCCTGAGGCATCGGCGGAGGCATCAGCGACTCATCTTCAAACAGCGGAGAGCCAGGGCTGGAGAAACCCACGAAAATTGGCTAAGCCTGCAGTCTTGGTTTCTTTAAGTCGAACAGCTTCAAAGCCTGCGATTCTCACTGTAGGGCACAGCAGCTGCCAGAGCCGGGTTGATCCTCTCAGCTTTTGGCAGCCCTCAACTTGAAATTCCAGCAAAAAAGAAATTCTTCAAGTTGCTATTATTGCCTGTCACAGATTTATAAATATTGTGTGCCGTGTGTTGTGGCACAGCTCTCTAGGGACGCCGGCGCACGCCAAAAGGAGCGTAGAAAGGGAGAAAAAAACCCACCAGCTCATCGCCTTCAAATAAATGCTAATTTCTTTTAACTGTGCTCACACGACGCTTTTGGTGAGCAGCTTCAGTAGTACAGAATATATATCAGAGCGGGGAGAAAGGCTGATTGTCTTTTCCAGCAATATTCGGCTGCTACTTTCATTAGGCTTGTTTAATTAGATTCCAGATGCTAATTTGCAAGTTGATACCAGAGGGTGCTGGACAGTCTGCCTTTGAATCGTTTCTCTGTGATGTGATGGTCTTGCGGTACGCCACTGCCCTTTCCAAGCTCAATCAAGACATTCTGACAATTAGCACAGAATGAAGCCGCATTCATCTTGACAGGGGGAAAAATATTAATTTCCTACCCATTTTAATGACAAGGGCCCTGAGAATTTTAAAGTTCTTACCACCGCAGCAGCGTTTGGCGAATTCTGCACAACCAACTTCTAGAAATAGACAGAGATGCACTTCATGGTGTTCCAGTCCTCCAAACAAAGGGGCTGTCATTGTGTTAACACGTTTTGTGCTTTGATTGCCTTCCAAAAATTAAGGCTAGAGAGATCTTCCACTCTGCCTAAATCAGCTTTTCCTTTCAAATACGCCCCACCCCCAAGCAGAATTACATCATTTCCACTGCCTAGAAAGCCATCACTTCTTGTCTATTCCACTTACAGAAAGCAGAATACTATTGCGAAACCAGAGGCATTGCAATAAAACCTTCTGCTTTTTAATCTAAGATGCATGGACCGTAGGAGGGATCCTCACTGAGGACAAAGAAATACAAAGAAAAAAGAAATGGGACAAGGATTGTTCCTTAGGATCTCATTGTATCAACACAAAATGCAACTGCTGTTCTGGATGGGGAACCTTCCTCTTTCTTTCTTCCTAGTCAGAATTCAGCAAAGAGGTGCCTGAAGGCAGAGTGACCCACAGGTCCTCATCTTCACCACCTCCAAACTACAGAGTTGGAAAGGGCCCTATGGACCAGAGCCATCCAATATAGGCAGCTTTGACGACCGTGGGGCCCCTTTCATACACGGATAACTATTTTCTCTCCTTTCTATGGATTCCTGGCTGGGCTTAACACAGCAGAATATTTTTTTTTAAAATGCCACTTCAGTGAGTTTCCTATCAGGCTGGCCTTTAAAACTGGGGAACCAGCCAACTTCTGCCCCCCATTTTAACCAATCGGTTGTTTCAGTAAAGCTGTGAGATAAATGAGTGGTTGGTGGTAAGGATTTTCCCCTTGATGTGGTGACTCTAGGGTTCCACTGAGCCACGAGTGACAGTGTAGGCACCGACGTCTGGTTCCAAAAGCCCACGGGAATGAATCCTGAGCTTTAAACATGTCAAGACCAGCCATCACCAGATTCTTCCACGATGACAGGAGCAGAAGTCTCCCCCAGTTTTACCCCCAAATCTATGCTTATATGTTGATGGAGAACAATAAAAATAATGCTGTACCCAGCATGATTAGCACTGCTAGAGCAAAGATCCCTTATCCTGAGACATCTGGTTTAGTTGGTGACTATACTTTGGTTTCTCTTCAGATCGCATAAATCTTTCACCTTTTAGAACTCATGTCTTCTCTGTGGTTTCTGAGTGATGCAGCAGAACTTGTAAAATTTACTTTTTGGCCTACCTGCACTGGGGGGGGGGATCTATACTTTGCAGAATACTACAGTCCAAAAAAGTAACTTTTACAACCTCCACTTAGGGCACCAGCAATTGTGCCCCTCCCTCTGAGACCCAGGCCAGATGATGGGTTGCCAGTCATTTAAGTGGTTTGTGTCACCATCCGATGAGAGGGGAGATGGTCTACCAATTGGTAGGAAAGAAATGCAGGGAAAATGATTTACCCCGACAAAAGTTCCATTCTCACCATAAAACAGATGACATATTGTCCACCACGAGGGGTAACAGTCATTTTTATATTCATAAAATGACAGTGCTGGGGAAGACTTTAAGGTCCCACCCAAACTCCAATCCATATCCTAAAAACCATTCCAACTTATCAGTCAATTAACTTGTGTCCTAGGGCAGTGGTTCTTAACCTTTGTTACTCAGATGTTTTTGGACTGCAACTCCCAAAAGCCTTCACCATCAGCTCTGCTAGCTGGGGTTTCTGGGAGTTGCAGTTCAAAAACACCTGAGTAACAAAGGTTAAGAACCACTGTCCTAGGGTATTCCACAATAATTAGCCCTGTAGAGAAGAACAGAGCACAAGTGAACAAGGCTGTTCAAGAACAGCTTACTGACACAGATCAAGGGTCCCAAGGTAGGTAGAAAATATGCTACAGCAAAAGCCAGAAAACGACATTGAATTGACAACACTGAATAATACAACTGTCCAGGGGAGGACATCCTTCTTATTCCTGTAGCTAAAAACTGACCATAATAAGATTTGAGGTAGAGACTCATTACACCAGACTATTCTGCTTTCTCTACAAAATGAACAGCCAGAATGGGGTCAGGGAGGGCTGAGGATTTTTTTTTACCTCCATGTCAGGTTTAAACTTGTCTTCAAAAACAGCCATGGCTGCCAAAGCACCAGAACCTGAAAAGAGACGGGAAAAAGGAACCGTTAGTCTTCATGGTGTAACTGGATCCAAACACATTTTGGTTTCAACAGGAAGAACAAATAGCGAAACAGCATCCCCAATGCCAGACCATGGAAACTGCTGGTCTCCTGTTTGCTCAGAAGGCCTATGAAAGAGAAATCTCATTTGTTTCAAGTTGAGTTTTTGCAAACAGGCTGAGGGTGACTTTGGAGTTGGGTCTCCAAAAGAAAGGAGCTTAAGAATGGGAGCCTCCCTGTTTACCCGTCTAGTGTTTTACAAAATGCATATCCCACAGAATTGCTGCATATAGAATCACCCCTTGTTCTGCATGCCCACCTCGAGGGGCCTGCTCTTGACTCCCCCATGCCACAAAACAAAGCCTGTGATATGGATTTTGTGCAGGGAGAGTCAGTCTGGGAAGAGTCCTGCTGTGGAAAACAAATACATCAAAATCCTACTGTGGGTCCACACAAGCTCTTGGGAGCACCTTTGAATCCTGGCCTATTCTTTTGATTGGGATCAACATTTGTAGAAATGCAGAGATATTTGTATTAGGTACCTTTATTAAAAGCCTGTCTACAGTCTTGAAGCTGAGGCTAACGAGAACTTTGAACACCTTCGTATCAGCAGAAGCAAGTGATAAGACTGAAGGGGCTGTCTGCCCAAGACAGAAACACCCCGAAAGGTAGGCACCTATTCCCTCTCCTCATCCACAGCAGATTATTAGCCCCTATCCAGTTTCTGGACAGTTCCTGGTTAGTGCTTTGAACAACAAGGCAGAGCAGATAAAAGTCACAAATGTTAGCTAGGCATCAGCATCTAAATGTATCTATCGCATTTCTGAGCATTTCAATGGCTGTTCCACAAATGTGCCAACAGAACCCCCTTCCCTAAAATGAGCTACAGGCAATACAAGCTTATATATGCAACCTGCAGGTGGACGTTTTAAAGAGTAACTGCAAGCAGCTCAGTATTCTTAAATCTAGCTCTGTTCAGAGAACAAGCAGCTCTTCTTTGCATAGAGACATCATCGTGTCTTGTTGCAGCGCAGACAATATTTCAGGCTGCTCTACTTGTGGAGACCGAATAAAGTTACCTCCAATTTTTTATGCCAATTAGGAGATTTTTTTGGCATTTATTACTTTTTAACTTGTTTTGCATACCGCTATCTATTTAGCTGGGTCACCCAGGATGCCGTATTTTCCATTTAAAATGATTTGTGTACATCGCTTGACCACCTCAATGGTTCCGTAAAAGAAAAAGGCAGCGATTAAACAGTTTCAAATGAGGAGTCCTGCTGATTTTATCAAGTCTGCTGAATGTATAATGAAAAGGGAGAAGCTGACAGTGACACTGCTGAGAAAATACAGACTATCTTATCTGAACCATTTAAGGAGGCCCAATTATAGATCAAGTTTAAAGGGTAGAAGCAGCAGATTTACAGACACAAATCAATGAACATGGTAATCCCAGCGAATGTGACAGATACCTCCTGTTATGGAATATTGCTGTGGTTGAGGATCGTTACCTTTACAATGCCAAATACATCACATTTATAAGCAGTGGGTACTCAGCGCATCCTCTTACGCTCCAGGCAACGGCTATTCATTTCAGACTCTGAGCCAGGAAGGCCTCCATTTTCAAAAAGCTAAAAACATGTATTAAAAATCAATTCTTTCTGAGGAGCTGAGTGGAGAAAAAAAGCAACAGTAAAGGAGAAGGCCAGCTGCCTGGACAGCAAATGCGGAGGAGAACTGCGTTGAGCCCACGAGTCAAAATGAAATTAGGCTCAGAACATCCTTTTATGAGGCAAAGTCCACGAACTGTGATTGCCTGAACAAGAATAAACATGAGTTGGGGAAGAGGTGGCAAAGGATTCCAGAGACCGGCAGGAGTTTTACCAAGAGCCGTGAGGTCCTTTTTCAGTCAGACACTTGGTACAATTCTGACCATTATGGATCTGGGGAATAAACTGTAAAGATGCACACACATTGAATGGCCTCTGACCCCCTTTCCCCCAACCATGTCTCCATCACTGTCGTTTGCTTATTTGTGACAGCGTGAGCTACAGCCTACCACAAGAAAGCCTAAAGAGGCTGGAGTATGGTGGTGGCCTGTCTCTCACCCTACACTCTGGTGACCCCGTTCCATGGAGCATACATTTGCTCCTCTTCCCAAAACTGTGCTTATGACTGCAGAGTCATAACCATTCCTACAGAACTTACCAGGAAGCATATTCCTTCTGCCCTATTAAGAACCTAAGAAGAGCCCTGTGGGATCAGGCCAAGGGCCCATCTAGTCCAGCTTCCTGTCTCTCACTGTGGCCCCACCAGATGCCTCTGGGAGCCCACAAGACAATGAGAGAACTGTCTCCTGATATTCCTTCCCCTGCATCTGACATCAGGAGGGACCTTCCTTTGAAGGCTGGAGATTAGACATCCCCATCATGGCTTGTCACCTGCGATGGACTTTTCCTCCAGGAATCTGTCCCATCCCGTTGAAGGCCTCTAGATGCCAGATGCCATCACCACATCCTGTGGCAATGAGTTCCACAGACTAACAACACGCTGGGTCAAGAAATCTTTTTCTTTGGTCTGTTCCCACTCTCCCAACACTCAATTTGAGTGGATGTCCCCTGGTCCTGGTATTGTTTGAGAAGGAAAATACAGTTCCAAGCTGTCTCCTGTTTCTCAGGCCATGCCTAGCATGTAATGGCAATATAGCCCAGGCTCTGGGATTTTATGAGAAGACAGTGTGACAAGCTCTGTATGGACAGGAGAACTCTCTCATTTTCCAAGGTCACCAGGATCACTTTGCAGTGGTTGGGGCAGCTTTGGAAACGACCCATCTCTCCAGTCAACAAGAATCTCAAGTGCACAGAGGTCTGGGTTTGGGAATGGGAGCAGTAGGATCTCTGGCAGGGCCCACCATCCCCAAAGCTGGAGGGAATTGGAGACCACAGACATTCAACAGCTGCTGGATCAAAGTAAGCAAGAAATTATACGCTTGCCTTGTGATCAAACCAGCACTGAAATTAGCAACACACTTCACAAACTGTCTCTCTTCTGGAGATGGGGAAAGGATTTCTGAGCAACACTCAAAAATAGCTAGAATTTCAAGCTTACAGTGTGTCTCTTCATACACCTGATAGGGCAGAGCTGTTTGACTAAAATTTGGCTGCCCAAATTAAACAGATACAAAGGGTCTTCTGCTGATACGCTGCTGCTGGCAGAATCTTTCTATTTCATAAGCATGAAAAGCTCTTGGAGGCTTGCTTTCTTCCTTTTATTAAATAGATATCCCCTGTCTTCAGCACCTACAGAACCTGTTTGCTGCGGCTGCCGTCTCTCTCTGCCACACCATCTAACATCGAGGGTGTGAAGAGAGCAACATTTAGATTTCTCTAATCCATCAGTGTCAGCAGACCCTGACAGGGCACTTACTCACAAACGCTCATTGTTATTCAATTTGCTGTTCCTCCTAGGTAAGAAATCCGGCGCTCTCGAAGGACCCATCGATCGATCGGCATCATTTTTCACTCGGGTTCCTGGCTGAGAGGCCTGGTCTCTCGGTGGCACCACCTGCGCCGCAGACAGACACTGCCAAGGCGCGGGGAGCTGATTTATGAATATGAAACAATGCCGGTGCCAGGAGATCAGGCTCAGCCACCAGAGACCACCGGAATGCATCTCACCGCTTCCCTGAGTCTGAACTACAGACTTCAAGCGCTTTAATTGTATGCACGCATTTCATTATATAGCCATGGCCAGAAGCTGCTCTAGACAGGCAGCAATCAGGGAATCCTGCACCGTTTGCTGAAATCCACATTTGTCCTTTGTCAGCATAAACACTTTAATGTGATGTTTTCACTCCTGAGTAAGCACTGAGTAGGTTTTTCAACTCCTTCTGAGGAAGGACTTGGTTCTCTATCTACGCACACGAGGCTGGGTTTCTCTTGCCTCTGCCTATTCATGAGTAATGACATTTGTAGGCCTTCATGCCCATTTTCCTATAATATATTGCTTGCAAGGATGAAAGGGAGAAGGGAGGAGGGAAATTAGCATTCCGCTTGTATAGACATCGGAGAATCATTAGCAAAACACCAGCAGTAGCGGTTTATGTGTGTCACATTTCACAACTCATCCTATATGAGAAGGTTTGGATTTTTTACTCTCCTCTATGATGATGGCGAGGCACATCTGGCAGAAATGGAAATCCCTGATTTCGGTCACCAACAGCTAGGTCTGCTTTGTGTGCCAGCTGGAGACATGCAGCACCCTAGAGCTTGCCCAGCACCCAATATTTTGCACACAAGAAATCCTAAAATAAAGACTATGTACCAAAGTCATGTCCCTGTTATATCACTCAAGAGAATTAGGCTGTTTTTCCCCCCCTGTTTTTCCTTCTGTTCACAAGGCGTCAAAACTGGATCGTTCTAATTTAGAACCACTGTGAAGCATTCACACTTGAGCTGGTTGCCAATGATCAGGGTATAGCTTGAGGAGATGGATTTTACCACAACAGATTTTATGACACATGATTTTTAAATTGTAATTTTTCATGCCTTAGAGAGAATACATTATATATATCAAGAGCAAAGCCTCCCCATTCTTCCTGCGTGACAATGTCAAGACGTTCAATCCTATTTAAACGCAGCTGCTATGAACATTGAACGTTTTAAAACTGGAAACCTACTGATTTAAAACATTCATATGCAACTACAGCTTCAGACTCCCATCAAAAGGTGATCCACCGAAAGCATACTGCAATACTGAATATGGGATGCAAAATAAGGATATACATCCTGGCCAGGTCTGCAGCAACAGTTGTGGTCAGTGTACTAGCCTTAACAAGTGAAAGGTGTTTCCATGTGTAGGGCTGACTACCCCTTAGATTTGAACAAGACAACCCATAGGGTTCCTGCAGCACAACACCGGCCTTGATCGGAAGTGAGTTTACTTGAAGCGAAATCTTACTGACTTCAGTGGGATTTGCTCCCAAAGACCAGAATTGCAGCTTTATGTGGCTGAGGTTTCTGAGGTGTTCACATCAAGAGCTCCACTGCTGAATAAAGAGACACAGGTGCCCAGAATTTGACTTCTCCAGTAGAGACAACTGTCTCCCAAAGACAGCAGCACTTACAAATCAGTTGTCTCTTACTGTGTTCAGTGACCGACATCGTTGGACAGCTGTTCTTTAAAGATCAAGCCAAACAAACTCAAATGATGCCTGGTATACAGCAGGCAAGAGCCCTTACTCGTTGGATTCACTATATCGCTCACTAGATACACGCAACGGCGCAAGGTAATTTATGGTTCTGGAGTTAAATAATTTATAAGTTTCAGGGCATATTTATAAATATTAATCCAATTTCATCTTTTATGTTAATTCATATATAAGAATCTGAATAGAATATTACATCATAAATCCTGTAACAGCCTTCCCCCCCTCCCCAAAAAATAGATTTTACGCACAGAATAAATCATATACTGTTTTGCAGAGAACCATGGCACCATCCAGTGGTCTAAGGAAGCTACTCTCTGTGCCCTAGTCTAAACACGCTGGCCCAACTGTCCTTAATGCTTGTGTTAATTCCTGTAAAATATCACCAAAGAAATTCCTACACAGTAGCAAATAATCCAGCAAAATAAAACAAACAAATTAAGTCTGCCTGAGTTCAAAAACAAGTAACTGCAGGACAACCTTTCAGTTGTAATACAGATAAAGGTTACTTCTTCTGTGCCTACAACAAGCAACAGAGCTTTAGAATAGACTAAAGACATTGTGAGCCAAATTAATGAGAATAAACTCAGCTAAGCACCCTCCACAGCAAACACCCTTATTAACATTTACTTTCTAGGTTTTGCAGCAATTCCTTCAGCCAACTGTTGAGAAAACATTTGCTGACTTGTACCCACCACAACAAGAGTTTTCTGTCCATTCAAGTTATTATTTTTTTTTTGTGGCTGTCAGCCAGTAAAAATCAGCTATAGCTTAGGAACTCTGAAATGATCCTTACAGTGTAATTTCTCTAGAGACTGTGCCACTATTTCTGATACTTTGCATTTGTTTGTTATTTTGATGAAGAACTGGTGCCTCGGGATTTGATCCAGGAAAACATCTGTTATTTGGTATTGAAGTTGTGCTCTCAGGCAATTTTCTAGGCTGTCCAGGGAGGCTGCATTTCCTTGCCACAGAAGTACAATTTTCCAGTGAGTTTGATTACTTTTAAGAGTCAAGGGAGTTGATCAGGCAACAAAGAAAGAAAAACACATCCTTGTTTCAGTTTCAGTTTCTCCAGCACAAGCTACATTACATACAGTATTCTCTCAGGCACACAACCCAATTGTGTATAAAAATAAGATCTCCACTAGTGGGCAGTGCAGTTGCCACATTCTAAAGTTTTGAAAAATAACAAAACTTACCCATCGTAACGTAAGGTAACTTGTCAGTAGATCCGTGAGGGTAGATGCTGTAGAGATGAGCTCCAGTGACATCCACCCCACCAAGGACCAAGGCAGCACCAATGTAACCTTGATACCTGAATAGAAATGTAGATGTTGTGACAAAATGTTTTCCAAACGCAAAACTTTCATTTTAAAATACCGTTTCCCCAGAAAAAGTGCTTCTGCTTGGGAAAACTGTTTAATAAACTTGTATTTTAAACATACCATTCAGATGCAGATCCCATAATGCTGTTTAATGGTAGAGGGGCTGGAAAAAATTGGTTTGGGGCGAAGTCCTGGCATCAACCCTGCATCCTTGGCATAGTTACCTGAAGAGCATCTGCTTGAGCATCCGGTTCGCGGTGACTACCCTCGGAAGCCGTCCGGTCGAGAGGGAGTGAAGCTCCATGTTCGATGAAATCAACTGAGTGGTCATTTCAGTGTCTGCAGCTGTGCCGGCGCCGCAACAACTGCAAACATATTGTGAGGCAATCAATGGACAGCTTTTAAACAATCCTCTAGAGCAGTGGTCCCCAACCTTGGGCCTCCAGATGTTCTTGGACTACAACTCCCAGAAGCCTTCCCCACCACTTCTACTGGTCAGGATTTCTGGGGATTGAAGTCCAAGAACACCTGGAGGCCCAAGGTTGGGGACCACTGCTCTAGAGCAGTGGGGGCGAATCTTTTTGGGCTTGCATGCCCAAACTGAAAAACAAAACAAAACTACAGTGGGGTCTTGACTTAAGAACGGCTCGAGTTAAGAACATTTTGACTTAAGAACCGCTCTTATAGGAAAATATTGACTTAAGTACTTAGATCTGAATTAAGAACTAAAAAAAAACCACGTGGGAGGCAGGGAATGTGCAAAATTTGAACTTTCAGTTAGCTGTTGGCCAGTGAAAAGGGTGCCTGTCTGCTTCCTCACTCCTCCCAGCGTTTAGAGAGTGGATTGGGAGACAGTCTTCAGACTGCCTGGTACTGTCCTGCCTGGACTGTATTTTCCCTGCCTTCCCTGAACCTTTAGTGACCTAAGAAAAAAAGAGAAACAAAATATCCCCCTCTAGTGGTCGAAGGCGGAATAGCAGCTTCCCCTTAGTTTCTATGGTCAAAAAAGAGCAGATACGGATCAAATGGTTTTCAATGCATTCCTATGGGAAATGCAGATTTGACCTGAGAACGTTTTGACTTGAGAACCACCTTCCAATACGGATTACCGGTAAGTTCTCAAGTGAAGACCCCACTGTAGTGGGAGGCGTGCCACGGCAGAACTGGAAGTGGCGGCGGAAGGGGAAATCCCAGGCACAGAGGTGCCTCGAGACCTCACTTCAGATCCGCCTGCAGAAGCGCCAGCACCGTGGCTGTAGCCACTTTCTCGGGTTTGGCTGTGTGCAGGGGGAGGAAGTACCAATCCGGCGACATATGGCTCACATGCCGGCAGAAAGGGCTCCATGGCTGTAGCCACTTTCTCAGGTTTGGCTGTATGCAGGGGGGGGGGAAGTACCAATCCGGCGACATATGGTTCGCATGCCGGCAGAAAGGGCTCCATGTGCCAACTGTGGCACGTGTGTCATAGGTTTGCCATCGCTGCTCTAGAGAAACTACAGCTTCCACTTGGTAGTCGCACCGTCCCCACCTTTGCCACACTGCAGAAAATCAGGCCCAAAGGTTCTCAAGAGAAGATACTGAGACGAGCACACATGTAAGGAATTGAGCAGTTTCATTTTTAAAATGGGTTGCTTGTTTGCCTCTTCTCTCTCCAATCAATTCACTCTGTAATTTCACCCCTTAATGATTTCAGACATTCATAGGTATAATAAGCAGGCCAAGGAAAAGTGTTGCCAGTGTGTACACTTACTAGATGTTTGGAGCAATGAAGTGTATTTTTGAACAGTTCTTATCGGCTACAACCATCCCTTCGGTTGCTCTTGTATCTGCTCCAAGTATCACTCCGTCCTGCAAAAAGAAAAAAATTCTGGGATTTTTACCAACTTCCCTAGGAATAAGCCCAGCTTATCAAGCGGACTTCCTGTCATGGGGAGGTACAAGACTGGGCTATTACAAAGTGAAGTTCAATACTAAACGAACACTCCCAACATCACTGAAACAAGCAGCTGGAGGAAGCAGAAGGCTCACCTTAAACACCACCCCAGCAATGGTAGTTCCCGTTTTGCGTGCGGTAGGGAGACGGAGACCCTTCTTGGCTCCCTCTGCTTCCAGAGCAGCATTCCTGCAATAAAAATAAGGAAACCATTATTTTATTTATCTATTTAATTTATATCCTGCCCATATAGACCGAAGTCTTCTCTGGGCAGCTATGGTAGAAAACTGAAAGGGCTTCCATAAAACGTGTAACAAAATATTGACAATTGCCATGGTCAGGTTTTCAGCAGCCCATCACCACCTCATCCCCTTAAATGTGGTCTGTGGGAAAGGAAGAACAACCCTAGTCCATTCTTCTGTTTTTGGTTCACTTACTTGTGGATTTACCTGTATTTCCCTTTAGTAAATGTCACCAAAGAAAATGTACAAAGTAGCAAAAGCAATCCAGGTTATCATGACATTTAAAAGAAATAGCAGAAACAATGTTTAAAGCCTAATTACAGAGCATCCTTCCTATACTGTAATTGGAAAGTGGAGATCTGCAAATCTAGAGAGCATCCCACAATTTGAGAACAATGCTAGAGAAAGCCATTCCGCACTATACAGGGCAGCATCCTCCTTACAGCAAACCTAACTTAAATGGGCAGGTTCCTACCAAAACAAGTTTAAACATCAAAGCCCTTACCCATGTAGGGCTTTCAAAGAACCAGGGCCAGAAGACAAGGGCCAATCTGTCCAAATGTTTCAGTGCCTTTTAAAATATTGTAATAATTTCTAATTACAGCTTTTAGTTCTGTCTTTTAATACTGTAATACTATAAGCTGTGGCATATACATTTTAAATGAATGATCCTGATCATCAGAATGACTCAGCAAAGGTGGCATTAAAGATGCTGCCATTAAATATGGTCTCCAATTGATACAGAAACCAGTTTTCTACCTCATGCACAAATGAATGTTTTGGGGTTCCTCCAAATCTGAAGCTCACAGGAAACCCCACTTGGATCAGATCAGATGCATATAACTATAGAATAAGCCTGTTTGAAGGCTGGGTTTTTGCAATAATCAAGGCAGGCCATTTTTCATGCCCGTTTTGCACCTGAATTGCAATCCAGCTCAAAAATCCTACTTTCCACTCAAAAGGACTTCCAGCCTAATCCTTTAATTACAGTATTTCCAAACAGGAAAGGCTCCCCCCCCAATTTTATAAAACCACTGAGCCCCCAATGTTTCTGAAAAGGATAATAGAAATGAATGTAATGAGCGTGACAAAAGCAGATATAAATACATGAAAAAAAACCAGAGTTAAAGCCACAGGGAATATGTTTACAATTTGGATAAAATAGTGAGGGAAATTAAGTTGTGGGCTTCTGACATACAAATACATTACAATGTTGATTACATTTTTTAGTACTACCTGTGATTTTTTTTCTATTTCTCAGACTAGCATTTTAGATACACATATTTATATACTTTCAAATATTGTCTTTCACAGTTGTAAGCCGCCCTGGGCCCTTTTCAAGGAGAAAGGCGGGGTGAACACCTTTTAAATAATAAACAATAGAGTACTATTTTCATTTTTTTCCCCCTGTATAATCCCAAAGCCCCTTCCCACACGTTTCCAACTCTTAAGACCTTCCCACTTGCCAGTCCCTCAACCCAATATTAAGACACGGCTATTTAAATATATGCAGATCTCCCTTATATCCCTAAATTACAATTAAAGGGTGGCAACTTTCCCACCCGTCTCTTCTCAGGAAAGCCACGAATTAAGTCGGGGCGAGGTGTCCAGATTTTTGGGGGGGCGCCATTTTCGGGGCTTCTTGTCCCCTCAGCGACCTCCTTTCCCTTCAGTGGGTGCCGCTCTTGGGCCCCTTTCCTTCCCCCCCTCAAAAAACAACCCAACCCGAGCTTTCTAAAAAAAACTCGTAAGAATGGAGCCTGCCGGCCTCTCGGCCTCCGGGTTTCGCCTTCTTCCCCTCAGCCACCGCCAAGCGGGCGGATGGAGGCCCTTCCGCCTGAGTCACGGTCCGCCCGGGCGCCTTCCTTAGCCGCCACCGCCGGGGCTCCTTCCTTTCTCCCCACACGCTCGGCCCCACGTCTCCCTCAGGCCGCCGGACTCACCGGGCGCAGTTGTGGAAGCTGAACCCGCCCGTGGCGGCGGTGGCCTCCAGCGGGGCCTGCAGGACGGAGAGCGTCGCCATCTTGCCTGGCGCTCGGGTGTCGGGGCGGGCCGGCTGGCTGGGCCCGGCCTGAGGGCGGGAGGAGGAAGCGGAACCGGCTTCTGAGGAGGCGGAGAAGAGAAGAGTCCCTCCCGCCTGGCGGGGAGAAAGGCGGAGAGAAGCGGCCGCCCGGCCTCCCCTTTTTCCCCCCCTCAGCGCCCTCGCCTTCCCGCCAAAACCTGAGGCGATTCCGCGGCCGCCATGATGACGGCGCCCGCTGAGGAGAAACGGGCGCCTTCGCTCTCCCTTCCCGCCACAATCATGAGGAGAATATGGTCGTAAAATTAAAATGGCCACTTCCTTTCCTTCTCCGTGAAGAAAAATGCATGAGGAGGGAGACACATATGGATCTTGATTTCCAGGACGGCGTTTCTTGGTCTGGGGGGGGTTGACACAAACCGCCCCCTCGAGTATCCAGACCCCGTCCTGCCAAAATGGCGGAGGCCCTTTTTTGGGAAGCGGGGCGAGGTCCCCGGCAGAACTGCTGCCCCCCCGTCCGTGTCCCCCCCAGGACCATTGCGACCCTGCCAAAAAATAAAAATAGAGGGGTCAGACTAGATGACCTCCCCTGCCAAAAAAAGAGGGTCAGACTAGATGACCTCCTTCAGTCTTGTGACTCCCAAGGCTTTTAGAAAGAGTTGAGCCAAAAGGGCTAATATTTTCCTCTTCCCCTTACAGGAAAGACACATCTTATTTTTGAAAAAGGCTTTTATTTCCATGCACTGCCATGCAGCCTGCCAAAGGGTGGGCGGGTTTGTGCAATTTCAGGACCCCTTCAATGTGCTCTGCAAGGCCTTGAGACAATAAAGCGGGGTTTGAGATTTATACGTGACTCTCGATTATTTTTTTGGCCATGCTCTCTGAAATGTTTCAGGCGAGCCTGCCGATGCTTTGGGGGCACTAAAGAGCCAGAAGACCTTCACCCCCATCTTGGCACCACAAGGCCCTGGCAGCTTTTAACAAACCACACCGGGCAAGCCAAGATGGCAGGAGCCAACTTTTCCCACTGAACCCCAGTGCCCGGCTCAGGTGTGTTTTAGTGAGATGTCCAACTTGTCCAAAACAACCTTGACTGCTCCATCTCATCAGGTTATGCGTAATCTCCAAAGATCTGGCGTTGAGTGACAGTTGCCTCTTCGGGCAGAAAATTGAGTATAAATCTTGCATGTGGAGCCCGGCTAGGTTGCAGAGCCGTGCGCGCCCTTGAAGTCTTGTCCCGAGGAAGGTCTACAAACAAATGGCCCAGAGCGGGAACATGGCGAGCTGGGCGCCAGCCTCTTAATTGGGTGAATTAGACCTCTAGCCGGCGGGATACAAATAACCTCAGCCTCGCCTGGCACTGACCTCCCCCTCCTGTAGGGATTTGACTCCTTGTACGCAGCAAAAGTTGGGAACAATTTGCAGGCTCCCCAAGAAATCTATTAGAGGCAGCCAGGGGAGCAAGGAGAGGATTAACCCATGTTACAAAGCCAGAGGCGTGTTTGCCTCCTGAGGGGGATGGCAGGCTTGCAAAGATGCCGGCTGGGGCCGAAGCGTTGAGAAAAGTTTGTACAGCTTAAATATATATATTTATATATGTGGCTGCTTTTCTAGTAAATACTTGCATGGGTCTTGAATCTCCTTCAGATTTTCCTAATTCACTAGCCTACTCCGTCTTAAGCATAATATATGCAGAAGAATTGTGCAAAACTGCCTATGGCAGATAGACCTGTATAACTGGATCCTGTTAAGATCCCAAACTTGTTGAGACTTTCTCCAAGACGCCCAGACCTACTGGCTCCCATTCGGTACCAAGGACCCACAAACAGCAGGCACAGCCCCACAGAAATAGGTTTGATATCCCACTCCTCTTTGAGATAGAGGGAGGCCCCCTTGGAGGTGTCACAGCCAGAACAGCACCCCCAGCACCCCAACTGGACCCCTGACAAAACCCAAAGCAGATCCATGATTAATGGCAACTTTCCAGGCTCAAACATAAATGTTCAATTACTGAGGTCCCAGCCTTGGAAGTATCAGAGATGATGCTGATGTGTTTTTAAATATCTCCACAATACTGAGGCAATAGTCAAGCCCTGATCATTAACACAACCAAGCCTCCAGTGCATTTACAACAATTTCTTGAAACTAAAGGCACCAGTGTAACTTTATAATTAGGTTTTTATTTTTTAGGCCATTTAATCCATTTCCACTTGATTACACATTGGTGGCTGAAACACCTATGCTATCACTTTAATTAGGTGTTCTTACTAAATTGTAATCATGCTAGGTTAACTTTTTTTTTGTGCTTCCTTTGGATCTTGTAACATTGTATTTTAAATTTGCACAGCATGTGAGGTTTTATAGGCCACCAGAAATGAATGGAGTCCCATTGTGGGTTAAAAATTATGTGGAAAAATGGGATCCAATTGCTAGGCCTTAAGTATATCTAGATAGCAGTACAAGTTTATACTTAGTGCCACTTAGTAGATACTGCCATGCACTGCATTAACATATTTACCTTACCAAGCAGGTATGGTTGAACAGGTAGCTTGTAAGAACTGTATTAAGAAGCTGATTTTTTTTTTCCTAATCAGCCCCATCAACTCACAGGCTATCTTGGAGAATTCAGCCAAGTTTTCTGTCTTGCTGGCTTACTGCATGCTTAAAGGAGCCATTAATCTCTTCTTATACAGTACTCCTTCAGTCTTCTCTTTGGTCCACCTCAAGTTTACTTTCTTCCATTTCATAACTGGCAAGCTAGGTCTAGATTGAACCTCTTCCCTTTCTCCATGGGCAGGCTTCATTCCACTACCCTCCTCTTCAGTGATTTCAGCTCTATATTCAGTGATTTCAGCTCCATGCTGAAAGGAGCCATTAATCTCTTCTTATACAGTACTCCTTCAGTCTTCTCTTTGGTCCACCTCAAGTTTACTTTCTTCCATTTCATAACTGGCAAGCTAGGTCTAGATTGAACCTCTTCCCTTTCTCCATGGGCAGGCTTCATTCCACTACCCTCCTCTTCAGTGATTTCAGCTCTATATTCAGTGATTTCAGCTCTGTATTCAGTGATTTCAGCTCTGTACTTCAATCTTCTACAACCTTCTTCTCACATCTGAAACCTTCAGCCTTTTTCCTCTGGATGCTCCCTCACATCTGAAATCTTCAGCCTTTTTCCTCTGGATGCTCCCTTCGCTCTCTGCCCCTTCTCTTCTGAGTAGCTGCTTCCAAGTGACTCTGAAACTGCCTCTTACCTCACTTAAATAGTCTCAGCCTGAACCCACCAGCCAATCAAATTCAATCAACAGAATTCCATTACCACTTGTATTTGACCCCAAACAACCAATAGATGATGGCGGAATGTTCACTTTAGAGCCAATTAGATGTCAGAAATTCTGATCCCTGCGCTAAGTACACAAGGCCAAAATCTTATATTTTTAATGAAAATATTTGAAAACTGCCCAACCATAGGTACACGTAATTCTTTATAAGCAAAATATTTTGCTGCCTTTGTTGTGATTATTAATCCCAAAGTGGTTCACTATCATCCATTTCATTTATTTATTTAAAAATGTATTTGTCAAACATTGAACTTGACTCAGAAATTCCTACACTGGAGAACTAAGACTCTATTTTTTATAGGATTACATGAATCAGTTAAAAATCTCCAAAAGGACAGATCCATAAGCATCATAAACTTTGCAAGGATCAGTAAGAATCTGGATCTGACAACATGCTGATGCCCCCATTATTGTTGTTGTTTATTTTTTTTGAGAGAGAGTCTTCCTTGTGTCAAGAGGATCTAACATCAAGCCAGCTTACCAAAGCGCTAATTTCCTTTTATAGTATTTCTCAAAATCTTACTGCTAAGTAACAGTTCCCAAAGTCTCAGCCCTTTGTCTACAAAGAACATCCCCCAACCATGCCCTCTCTAGATGGATTGGACTATAGTTCCCACCATCCACTACCTCCCACCAAGCAATCTGTGAGCTCTCTGCTCTGGATTTGCTTGAAACAAATGCACAGACACTTGGGGAAGGCAGGAGTGGCTTGAGAAGGTGGAAGGGGATGGCCTCTGAACCAGACCCTCTGAGAAAGAGAGAGAGAGAGTAATTACAGGTAGCAACGTACTGCTTGAGTATAATGACTTTAACAAGTGCCTTTCAGCTATTCACGCTGAAAATCTGGCATTTTGGCAAATAACAGCAGGCTGTCTTCAAAATGAGTCGTGTAGCCCAAAGGCTTAGAGCGGATGTGCAAATCTCATTACAGGGTTTCCAGGCAAAACATCCGACAGAGCATGAACACGTGGGCGCCAGGTACCGTAAAGTGCTGACCCTTTGCAAGGCACCGTGGGTTTTCTCCCCTGCCCTCCTGCCATCAGATGATGACTTCCCCAGCCGCTGAACTGAATCAGGCAGAACTGGTTTCCACGTATTTCACAGGTAACGTCATACCTTGCAGAGCATTTGCCAGTTAAAATAACCAGCACTCAGCTTGGTAATCAAATCCTCTAAACTGATACAAAACTGCATCTCGTCTTCTGCCTATAGACCAGTCACATGATGTGACAGGCTGCATGGGACACAAAACCCAAGAAAGCCCCTTTTCTGCACCACAAATCCCAGCATCCTCTAACTAGGGACAGAATCTGCTCCCTTCCAGCTGGTTGTGGCCTTCCCCCCAAAAAAGAGGAACTTTTCTAAGCTGTGGCATTAACTTTGTGAGGATGAGCAACCTCCACAAGGCCCCATCCCATCTCTCCAACCTTTCCTGTCTTTGGTTTGCCTCTGTACATTTCCTCCTGCTTGCTTTGGCAACAACAACTGTACCAAGGCGTGTGTGTGTGTGTGTGATAGAGAGAGAAAGAGAGAGACCACCCCATTTCCCACCTCCCCAGCTAGCCTACGAGTGCAGGAAGCTATAATAGCTGCCAGATGCTCTTTTTTTTAAACACAGTTTATTATTATTATTATTTGTTGTTGTTGTTCTGTGCCTTTCTTCCACCCACCCGCCCCTCCAATCTCCTCTTCTGACTTGATGAAGTTAAACTACACTCTCAGGGGGAAATTACAAGCATCAGGACTGGATTGGCATCCAAACAGTGGAACAGTTGGTGCTTCAGAGTCTGGGGAGGTAAAGGAACAGCAGGTTTTTGCTGGAAGGGACAACAGCTTTATTTCCCTCTTGGTCTTTGACAACTCAGCAGATGTCCTACAATTATTATTTTACCTCCTAGTAATGGCGTGGCTCCTCTTCCTATCCTCCCAGGTACATGCCCCCCTCTCTTTCTCTCTTGCAGATGTGCAGGTAAGTCTGACACGACTTCAAAGTGGCCCTTGGTGCTGCTTTAGCACCACCTGCCGTTCCGTTCTTCGGTGCAGCTTGGCACCCGAAATGCCAAAGACGTTTTTTCCTTCCACCGGGTTGGTGTGTGGAATGTCTTCGATACCGTAAAAGAGATTCTGTCCAGCCTTTACGCGTGTGCATGTGCATGCGTGCATGTGGGTGTGCATGCTTGCACACAGTCCATTTCGGTTCTTTCAAAACTTCCCAAAGTGGGTACCGAAAATGGTTGAAACTGAAAAAGGGAAACAGGAAATCAGCATCATTTCAAAATCCATCATCAATGCAATGCCTTCATCAAGCAGGACGGGCCCTACTGTTCTGCATAATGAGGTGATTGCCTTGGGGGCAGACGCTTGAATCCGGCAGCAAGGGTATTGCAAGAGAGAGGGCGTAGGGAACCTACTGCCATTAAGAGGGCAAAGGAGGCATGTCCCACTTTTGAAAAAAATTTTAAATGTCAGGCTAGCCAGAAAGGTGTATAGACCGAAAGGTGGGGCTCCATCATATTCTACTCAGATGGGTGACTCTGATTCCATAGGGGTGCAGAATCCACTCCAGAGTTTAGTGTGGATTTTATTTTACAGGAGCTATCCAAGGTGCTTACAGTCACACACTCGGACAGTTTCAGCACTCCAGGTATCTCCTGTAAAGTTCGGAAGAAAACCCAGAAAGGAGATTCACTGTCCCAATGAAATTGGCACCCCAGCCTCTACCAAGCATCAGAATGTCTTTGGCCGGTGCTAAGGTCCTCTCATGGAGTCACGAACAGCCGGACACGACTAAACAACTAAACAACAACAAAGGTGCTCCGGCCACCACAGGTATTGTTCCACTTATTTCAAAATATGGTCACCCCAGCTGCATTTTTTTTCGGTAGCCCTTCTGCGCCTTCTGCTGATTGGAGAACCCTAGAAGGTGCCACTGGTCTGGGGTCTCCCAACAGAGCTAATTCATGTGACAGTTCAATGTGAGATCAGCCTGTCCAAAACCTGCAAAAAGGGTAATTGTGGTGAGCCTGTTGTGATACTTTTTTTCTCCTTTAAACTTGCAGAACCGTGGGATGATTTTTGTGTGTGTGTGTTATACTCCCCAGAACTGAAACTGGATTTAAGTACTGTACAGTACATAGTCCTGCTATTTGCTGTATTTGTTATGGGTTTTTCTGAACCTACCCTGTGAGACTGAATTGGAGGTGAGTGGTGCCATCTTGTGGTAAGCCTTATTATCTCAAGTAGGTTCCAGCAGAAATAAGTTTTTTAACCAAAGGTAGGTGTGTTAAGTCTGTTTCAGCAAGTATATAAACCAGGAAGAATTCAGTATGGATTTGGCATCTAATCAGCATCTTATACAAGATTTTGGTGGCTCTTAAAAGACAAACTAATTTATTATCACACAAACCTTTGTGAACCACTACTCACTTCATTAGCTGGGGAACAGTCCGCAACTCTGTGCTATAATAAATGTTTAGTCCGCAGAATCCCACAGAACACTTTTACTGACAGACGTAACAGGAAGAAGAGTAATGTGTGTCTTTCTATTTCTGCAGGATCAAAATGCAGAGCCGAAGTTCTGTAGACTCACCCAAGATCTGGTGCCAGACAAAACCACTACGGTCCAGGAGGTGGCGTTGTTGCAAAAAACGTGCAAAGAAGACGAGACACGGGAGAAATAAATACGATTCCATTTTTTCCCTACAGATGGGCAGTGCTCTTACTAGGGTAAATTATGTACAGTACTCACAAAACATACAAGCTTTTGAGTTGCCCAAAACTTTTCACCGGGCTAAACAGTAAAACAAAAACAAAACAAAAAAAATGGGGAGGAGGGAAAGCATAGAAAATTGATCACATTATTTAAGTCATAGATATTTGCAGTTAAACATCATCCCAAACTGCACAGGAGATGCTTCATAAATTAAACAATCTGTAATCGGCTTCCGTGTCCTGATCAGCTGTTTCTGGAGAACTGGGAAGCTGTCACATTTTGTGAATTTATTGTAGATCATCAATTGCCCATACCCCTACGAGCTGCTTGTTTCCGATTTGTATTGCTCACTGAATTGTCGGATTTTGGATTTTTCCTGGTCCCTGTGGATCAACTCAGGTGTTTTCTTTTTTTCAAGGACTGGAAGGCCCTTTCAGCGAAGAGCCAGTGGGTAGAAAGGTTGTCCCTCTCTTTCTTCCTGCCCTGGCTCCTGTTTTCAGGGTTGGGATTAAGCCAACAAATCAATGAAATGGGGATGGTTAGGGGTGTCATTCCTCCCCCTGGCTCTGTAAATATCCACCCTGGTGAAACAAGTTCATAGGGCATGGTTTTTTCGAAGGCCACATTTTGGAAAATAAAACCGGTGGGGGGAAGAACATCAAGTCCCTTTTGACCTCACCAGAACAGAGCTGAGACGCTCTGCAGTTTGATGTAGCTTTTTTAATCAGCTCATCCAAGTTCGCTGGCTCTGGGCTGATGACCAAAAAGGTCGTTCCAGCAAGAGAGCTAGCTTGTGCCAGGGGAAAAGGGCAAGCGCCGAGTTTGGAGTCTGCCAAAGAACACAACGCATCAATGAGAGAAAGATCAGGAATGCGCCCTGTTTTGTGACTGGAACATTCTTTTTTGCTCAGTTCAGATTCCGTTATGCGGTGGGTGCTGCATATATGACGGAAGCCAGAGAAGTTACTTTTCCTGGAGTTCCACATCCAGATTTCCCTTGTCAGCACGGCCGATTTCTCTTGCTCCTGGAATCCACCGCTTTGCTAAAAGTACAATGCAGAGGATTGGAGCCCACAAAGATATAAACTTATTGATTTATTCAAAATAAAACTAAAATATTTTAAATATTTTCTCCTTGAAAAGGATCTAAGGTGGCTTACCACTTTCTGTTGTTGTTGTTAAAAAAACATTGAGATCTCAAGTTTGTTAGGGAACATGAGCAGTTTAGGGCAGCTTTTTTTGTGGGGCTGCAGGTCTCCGAACACCCCCCTGCCCTACTAGCTCTAGGGATCTGTAGTCCCCACCAAAAGCAACTTTCCAAAGGCCTGGGAAGCTGGCACAGATTCGGACCTTGCTTGTCTGCCTGCCCCCCCCCACCGGCCCCCCAGTTTCCCCTGCGCTCATGAGAGACTCCGGGCTGTATCAACAGCTGCTATCCCGCTGTGGGAAGACACAATGGTGGCCCTTTCTGACAGACAATATACCTGTCATGAGAAAACATAAAACTGGCAATTAATGGCAGGGCTTCGGAGCTGGGCTTTTCAGCCTGGACAATGGAAAGGGTCTGGAAGCGAAAGATTAAACCCAGCGCATCCATGGGAGATGGTTAAACGGCCTCTAGCAAGCTTTCTTTCTTCAGGGTGGGGGGGAACTCTCGGCATTGCTTCTCATGGCTAGGATGGAAAAAGTGAGTGTACCAGGGGGGTGTACGTGTGTGGGTGTGCCCCCCCCATGCTACGAAGGATGACTCCTAAAGATGGGAACCACATTTGGGCTATGGGATTTTAGCAGTCAAGTGACTACAATTCCCAGGATCCCCCAGCTGGGATGGCCAGTTAGGAGGCCCACGTCCTTCCAACCCTTAAGAAAGACATGTGGCTTCAAATATTTCTTTCTTTATGTCCAGCAAGACTTAAATTTAATCTCCTGGGCTTTGCTGATGTTCAAAATGGTGACTTTCCGCCCCTGCTCTGAAAGAGTTCTTTATTCCACTGGTTTTCCTTAATTAATATTCCCGGCGGCGGCGGTTTTTGAGGAAGAGTCACCTCCCGGCATCTGGAGACCGAGCCGCCAAAGCTAGCCCAATGCCTCGAACTGCCATTAGATCCAAGCTGGCTCTGCTTCTTAGAACAGAAGGGCCGGCTCCTGGCCCCCTGGCAACCACCGTTAGAGCCAGCCAAGGTGTCTGTTTGCTCACTGGATTTCTGGGCCATAGATGCAACCTCACATTTGCAGCCAGCGTGATGGACAACACATAAGTAGCCGGGCCCAAGGTAGCCTTTAAAAAGCATGAACTAAACTCCTTCCCCAATTGCATCGGAGGAGAGAGAGAATGGCAGAAAAAAAGAGCCGTCTATTTATTCCTTTTGCCATCACTGTTCCAATTTCTTTCCTATCCCTCTGCCGTGCCAGTCGACCTATGCCCAGGAAAGGTTGAAGCTGATGGAGACAAGTTTCTGAGAAACTTTATAATTGAATAAATGAAAGCTATGTGGTTCACTGTTAGAACACAAGCTCATTTTTATCACCCCTTTCCATTCCTCTTGTGCCAGAACCAAACTCTCCTGCTGAAGATCCTTACGAAGACGCTCCCTGTTTCTGAATCGACCTCTTTTCAAAACTTACCTTCGCTGGTTGAAATTAGCTCTTGCATCTCAAGAAAATCCAGACCTTTGGAGTTTTGTTTCCCCATGCTAGTTTCTTTCTTCAACACCCTGGCCCTCCTCTTCTGCATTTAGAGGAGACCACACCTTCATGCACCTTGTCCTGGGTGACGAATTGCAACAGCATCAAAAAAAGTGTGTATTTTATATAAAACTAGATGTTTAAAAAAAATGAGTTAGAAATACCATAGTTACCTAAATGGACTTACACTATTAGGGTAGTAGGGTATAACAGTTATATTTCCAAAGTAATACTCTATAATGAAACACAACAAAATGGCTTTAACTGTTATAACAAGCAATGTTTTCTCAGTGCTGTATAAGGTTTCTGTTAAAGGGCATTTTAAAGCAACTGTGATGACTTTTTCCTGGGTTTAATGCTGTTTTTGTAACACTCCTGAGGTTTTTCTTTAAAAAAAAAGGAAAGGAAAAGTAACTAACCATCCAACTTCAATAACTGCAAGAAGTAATGGCAACAGGTTCCTTTTCAAATACTCTTGGCAAGTCACAGGAATGAATTACTCGTGAAAACTAACTTTTCAAGTTCTGGGTAAAACTTGCTATTTAGTTTTTTTTTTTTTTTAATACTTGGAGGGCCTTCACAACCTGCAAAGTTTCAAAAGATGCCTCTCGCATATTTACATCAGACAATAAGTTTAAAAAAGGTAAGCTCTTCTGCTGTTTTCTGTCCAAGTTTGCTTGAGTTGAAAGAAAGGGTCCTCACAGAGCAGGCTTCAGGTTATTGTCAAAAAATTGAACCATATTTTAGCTCTTCGTGACCGTGCCTTATTAGTTTAATGTGCCATTAAGTTGCCCCCGAGCCATGGGCAAACTGTCTCCAAAATGTCCTGTCCCTAACCGTTCTGCTCAGCATTTCCAAACTGAACATATGGCTTCCTTTATCAAGTCAATCCATCTTAGTCTTCCTCTTTTCCTGCTGCTTTCAGTTTTTCCTAGCAGTCCTGTCTCTAGATCTTAGGGAAAACATTTTAACTTGCAGAAAAAAATCTTAAACAGAAGCAGAGAAACCACCAGATGCCCCTGGAAAGGGGCAGTAGTCATGCTGGCCTGCATTTGGCCCCCAGGCAGGCCAGATTCATCCCGAGGGCCCAAGGTTCCTGACCCCTCTTCTGCACCATCTGCTGTCAGTTGTGGATTTCAAGGAAGTGGCCACCTTGCACAATGCCATTTGGCCGGACTCATGAGACCATTCTCCAGCCAGCTACCATGATGACTAAGAAGCCCAATGTCAATAGCAAAACAAAACAAAAACAAAAAACTCTATTTTGTTTTGTTTTTTAAATTCTGGAGATTTATCACAGCTCGCGGAGGTGGCTGTGGGTTCTGCTAATTGCCTCGGCTCCAGAACTGAAGCCCAGAGGCACAAAAGGCAGTTGCCCATGAATGTGTGACACAGTAGAAGAATCTGTCCCTTGAGAAGGAGGCTAGCTGATGGCCGGGAGGAGGGCGGGGGGGGGGAAGTTTGCTGTGGAAACAGAAAAGAAAAAAAAGGAGCATCTCATCTCCTTTTGAGAGAAGAATAATGTGTTGTGGAGGCAGGAAAGACACAGGGCGACTCTGTCTGAATTCTCTGCCTGCCTTTTGAGCTGCTGCTGAATGCGCTATGAGCACCGGTTACGGGAAATTACAGAATTGGGAGGAACTGCCATGTATGGACCATAAAGAAGGCCGACCGCCAAAGAAGTGATGCTTTTGAATTGTGGTGCTGGAGGAGGCTCTTGAGAGTCCCCTGGACTGCAAGGAGAACAAACCTATCAGTTCTAAAGGAAATCAACCCTGAGTGCTCACTGGAAGGACAGATCCTGAAGCGGAGGCTCCAATCCTTTGGCCATTTCATGAGAAGAGAAGACTCCCTGGAAAAGACCCTGATGTTGGGAAAGTGTGAAGGCAAGAGGAGACAGAGGACGACAGAGGATGAGATGGATGGACTGGGTCATCGAAGCCACCAACATGAATTTGACCCAACTCCAGGAGGCAGTGGAAGACAGGAGGGCTTGGCATGCTCTGGTCCATGGGGTCATGAAGAGTCGGACATGACTAAACGACTAAACAACATCAACACACAAGACTGCCTTTTCTTCCCATGTTCACAGTCCTTACTAGAGCCAAAGAACTGACCGCAGATCTCCTCCTTTGCATCAGAAATTCTCAAGGAAAACCTTTTTTTTGCACTTTTCCCCTCCTTTTTTTCTTCTTTTAAATGGGAAGGCTTGTTAAAAATCCCAATAACGATCTCCTCTGGAAATAAGTGGTGCTAGAACTTGTTTTTTTTTTAGATCAAACTGTTCTCTGTTGATCTCAGTAATTAAAAAAAAGTTTTAGCACCACTCATTTGCAGAGAATAATTGGGATTTTAACTTATCATACCCTCTGACGGACCTTGCAGGGCTGATCCTGACCTTTTAATAACTTCCTCCTCCAATCCCCATTTAACAGCCATCCTGGTTGATGGGGGGAGGGTGTTTCTTAGAGCTGTAAACCCGAAAAGTAACTTTCCCCTCCTACACAGCTCTTCAAGACAGTTAAATCCACCCCAGAAACAAACAAAAAAGGGGCGGCTCTCCCCACTTGGTGAAATACACACTTAACATTTTGCCACATGGGTTTAAAAGGTTTTCCCGGCCAGGGAAGAAAACCTGCTTGACCTTATGGACCAAAACAAAAAGAAGTGGGTGGCCACTTCCTGAGAGATCAATTCCACCCACCCACCTACCCAACAAGCCCCTTCCAAGTTTCTCTGTCTTAAGAAAACCACAGATGACTTTCTCTCAACTTTGGAGGGCGTCGGGGTGCTCAAAGCGGTGCCAGGAAGAGGCCTGAGAACCGTCTTTGGCCGTGAATCACCCTGTCTCGCTGCGACGTACTCGCCCCCCCCACTCACCCCCCAAAATTCCCCTTTCCCTCCCACACCTTGGGTCCTTGCCCAGAGAGAGACAGCCAGGCTTCGGATGCCGTGGTTACCAGCCTCTCTCTCTCTCTCTCCGGGCAACCTGGTGGCAGCGGAGGCGGAGCGCAAACCATCTCCGGACCCTCGCCGGCGCGCCCCCGACGGAGCGCTGGGCATCCCAGGCGCGCCCTCTCCGCCTCTTCCTCCTTGCTCCCTTCCAGGACCGCCTGGAGCCCCTCGGGCCATGAGCCCGGCCGCTCCGCCGCCACCGCCTCCCGGTCCTCCTGCCTCTTCCCTGGACAGGTGAGTCGGAGAAGCGACGGGAGGGAATCCAGGCGGAGCGCGTCTTGCGCTTTTGCGCCCCACGCCTCTCCAAAGAGACTAGTTTGGGGGTGGGCGGACAAGGGATCGAGACGCAGCGGGAAGATCTCCAGGGCGGGTTCCTGAGATCCAGATCCCCCCCTCCCCGGGATCCGTCGAGAGTCTAGGAGGCGGCCAGGGTGCCTCTCGCCTCCCCTGCTCTCCAGGCTGAGGATCTCCCCGAGGCGCGAAGGGCTTTGCGCAGCGCCGCCAGCTCCTGGGGAATCAATAGACCCTTCTTCGATCTTGGGGGTGGCCTGTGGGGCGAAGAGGCTCTCCCTCCCTCTTCCATCCCTTTACACGCGCACCTCGCGAGTGGAATTGGCGCAGGGTCTCAAAAACAGCGAGGGTAGATCCGGAGGGACCGGTCCTGGTGGGTGGCTCAGGCAAGCCAGCCCAGCCGCAAGGTGCCAAGAAAGCAGGCTGTGGGCCCTGGCCTTCAAGGCTCCGGAGAGCTGCCGAGGAGACACAGCAGTCCCTTTATGGCTTTTGTACAGGAAGAGGCCGGACCGTTTAGATTCCCTCCTCCCAGAGTTTCACCCACCCCACCCCTGCTCGCCATCCAAAGGCAATGCTGAGCGAGGGTCCATTTTCTTCTACACCTGGGCGTTCAGGGGAGCCGAAGACTCAACCGGAGGGCCCACTCCTTCTTGGGACACGCTCAGGATGGTCCGGCCGGTTCTGAAAGCAGGCTATACATTAAACTTTTAGTACCTTGAGATGTACACATTTTGGGCAGCGTAAGATTTCGTGGACCGCAGCGCCAGCTCTTCGGACACACAGCCTCTCCCGTGGTCAGCTTTAGGGTCCCGCAGGCCTTTTTCGCTGCCCCAGATTCGCCCAGCTGCCCACGGATGGAGACCATCAAATAGAAAGACACACCCCGAACTTCACAACACCATCCATTCCTTGCTCGCCAAAACCGATGGGGTTGCTGTGCTTCTCTCTCCTTCACGCAGTTCATCGTCATGATCGGCAAAACTGGGATGCGTGTCTTTCTACTCCTCGGTTTTCTGGTAAGTTTACCCATTCAGTGGCAATGAGGTGGGAGTCAAAGCGGGCAAGGCCCCTGGCAGAGTCCAGCCGTGGTTCTTGTGAAAGCCGAGGTGGGCAACATGGCCCTTTTTTTGGGTTGGTTTTGGACTGCAATACCCATTGAGCCCGGCCACTGCAGCCCACAGCTGAGGATGATGGAGCTGGTAGAACAAGGATCTGGAGGGCCCACAGCGGCTTACTGACTGATTTAATGTGGGCTGGGGGCTAAGCAGCTGGAGAGAAAGAACAACCCTTACAAATATCTTAAAGGAAGGGTCGGCAACTTGCAAATTTAAGGGCCAATTGTCTGCCCATGTGTTCCTTGAGGAGGCCCCAGGGAGTCTTAAAATGCAAACAAAGGGGTAGAAGGAGGTGGGAAGGAGGAAGAAAGAGAAAAGGGTTGTGTTTGTACCAAGGAGACAGGAAAAGCCCTTTTCATATGCTCAGAGGCGCTTATTTTATGCATGCCATTCTCCTTCCTGAGCAAAGAAAGAGCAGAGAAGGGAAGGGACCTTGCTTTACGGAACCAAAGGAGCCGATTATTCTGCCTGGGTTTTGCTCAAGACAGAAAAAGGAAATAAAAATAGTTGGTTCTACTTCTAGAAAAAAAAAAGATGTTTAAATTCCTCAACAGACTGACATCCCCCCAGGAAATGTGTCCGGCTTTACCATACCTGCAGAAAATCACACGGCGAAAGGTTAGTGTGTTACAATCTGTGCGTGGAGGTGCGTCACAGTAAAATTTGTTCGAGGAGGAAAATGACATGAAAAGCCAGCATCATGACCTTGTTTAAACCTTGGGGCAGCAGGAAATGCAAGCCGGTCCTAAGGCTCTTTTTTGCAACCCCCCCCAATCCAGAGCCCCCCACTGCCTCTCATTAGAGCATCCTTCGTGGGGCAGGCAGTGCAGTGCGGTGGATGCCTCGGACAGCAGAAATTAAGACTCATGAAAGAGCAGCGACTTTTTTTTTCTTTAGTTATTGGTTATTGCCTTTTCCGGCCAGGGATGGGGGTAAACCATTCTGTGGGATTTTCTGCTTCATGTGTCGAAATATCGGATAGCTGTTCATCTTTGTAACTTAGAAAATCTACCCTTACGCTGTGTCAAGAGATTGGCCTGTCAGCTTAATGTTGCCATTCTCACTGGCAGCAAAGGTGGCCCTCGCCCAGATCCTTTCCAAAACCCTATCTGGAGTGTCACCCATTCAAGAATTATCCAGACTTGACCCAGCTTAACTTCCAAAATCGGACAAGGCCAGATGTGTTCAAAGTGGTGCCCTGGATAATCTTGTTGCTTCCAGATAAAATCAGTAAATGCTTCAGCTTGGCTTTGCTGCTAAGGCCCGCGGCGGCTGTTCCTGCTTCTCCTCCTCTTATTTCCTCCTTCCAGGTCTTGAGACCACCTTGGTGATCATTGAGACACCCGGCGATGTGTACGAATACGTCTCTTCCCCTCGGGACTGGTGGCACGCCCAGGGGTACTGCCAGCAGCATTTTGCTCAGCTGCCGTCGGAGATCTGGGCGGGCGAGCTGGCCTCTCTTGGCAAAAATCTGCACTCCCGCCACGTCCGGAGCACCATCTGGTTAAACGACGGGCAGGTGTATTTGCAGAAACCGAAGCTGCGGCGTGAGTAGTGCAGGAGTATTAAAGAGATGAACTGGAGTTTGCAATCATGGGGCGGAAGGATAAGCCATGATATCAGGGTTTATATGCTTTCTCGGATCTCGGTTTATCTTCTGTATCATCACCATTACCTTCTTTATTGCTTTGAATCATCGTCATTATCGTCTTAGAGCTGCAGAGCTGGAAGGCACCCTCTAGATCATCAAGTCAACAGCTCCTGTCAAGGAGACCCCTTGTGGGGGGAATCGAACCCCCGACCTCTGATATGCTTTCTCGGATCTCGGTTTATCTTCTGTATCATCACCATTACCTTCTTTATTGCTTTGAATCATCGTCATTATCGTCTTAGAGCTGCAGAGCTGGAAGGCACCCTCTAGATCATCAAGTCAACAGCTCCTGTCAAGGAGCCCCCTTTTGGGGGGAATCGAACCCCTGACCTCTGGCTCCACAGCCAGACGCCTTAACCACTGAGCCCTCCAGCAGTTCTTACCCTGCCCTTTCTCTCAGGAGCTTAAGGCTTTGTTTGCTTTTTTCTCCTACAAACCACCCAATTTTGCCTAAAGTGGTTCATTTTAACACTGTCATCATCATCATTGTCGTCATCATCATTTCTACTTCCCTGGACCTTTTATTTCAATATTCCTATTTCCAATATTCTTGGAAAGGTGGTATTACTGGACGGCATTACCATTCTGAAATTCTGAGACGAATAGCTTAAAAAACAAACGAAGGCATTTCCAGGTTCTTATAAGCTGAACTCTTCAACATCCTCTGCTTTTCTCCCTCTCCCTCTCTTTTTCTTTCTCTCTCTCTCTCTCTCTCTCTAGGGATTCACTCAGTGCCGATCCTGGTGTTCAGGAACAAAACGGACACAAAGTTTGTGAAGGTCCTGGTGGACTTCCCGGCCATGCTGGCGGTCAGCGCCTGCGGCCACGTCCAGTGGGACCAAGCGGCTGTAGAAATCTCCACCGTTTTCTCCTACGCGGTTCCGGCGTTCATCAATGAGTTCCAGGTGCGTGGCTTTGTGGACGAAGACGGCTTTGTCCGGTTTGCCATCATCCTCCGAGGGCACCACTCGCCTTATTTGCCGGCCTTCCGCGCCGACGGGCAGTGGCACCATTTCTGCGTCACGTGGCACCGGCTCAACGGGACGTGGGCCCTCTACGCCGATGGAAAGCAGAAGGCCTCCTCGGGGGGACTGTCGGCCTCCCACACCGTGGACGGCCACGGGACGTTCATCATTGGGCAGGACCAGGACGCCCTGGGTGGGGCTTACAAGGAGAAAGAGTCCTTCAGTGGGAACATCACGGGGCTGCATGTCTGGCGCAGAGCGTTAAGCCACGAGCAGGTCGAGAGAGTGCGCTCCTGCCTGGCCATTGAGGAAGGGCTTGTCTTTCGCTGGAGCACCGACATCCTTGAAGTGGAAGCCAGCGTCCAGCAGGCCACCGTGCAACTCACATGCCCCGGTAAGCCCATCTTGACATTCTGCCTGCGTCAGCTGTCCACGGGCGGTCTGCAACGGAGATGGGGGGGTTTCTGTGCCTCTGCTTCCCACCCGTTTGGTCTGGATTAATCTCTCGCGGCTTTCTTCGAACCAGGTGCTAGGCTGGCGGGAGGGATGCGGGGAGGAAGAGTGATGAGAATCGTAGCCCAGCACGCAGGTGGCCACCTGGGTGGGAAAACCTAGCCCATGGGGAGAAGGAAGCACCTGCTGCCTGATCCCTGAAACCTTGGAGAGCGGATCCAGCCATTCAGAACCTCCAGGAGCCGGTGAGATGAACCCAAGGTCTGATGTGGTCTATGGATGTTCCTGTTCGTAGAACTGGCCATAAACCACTACCACCCTTCAGAACATTTCCCCCAATGGAGACTGGTTCCAATCCCATCCACGTTTCCCATGCACGCATCCTTGAAACCAACACCTCTGAATTTGCATGCTATCCCACTCCCCATTCATGCCCTCCTTGTTTTCACAGCTATTTTCTTTCTCTTCTTCCATCCTGCCTGCTTTTAACTGTCTGTCCCTTCACTTTTCTTCATCACATTCCGATTTCATGGCTGCTTATACAGTACCACGCTTCCTGCTCAGGTTGCACCCTCTATGGCCCTTGGTGAGCCTTTTCTGCACCTCAGACTGACCTCTCACTTCTTCTGCGCCAGCTGCAGTGCTTGTGCACATTCCGTGGCGACGCCTCTCCTCTCACTGTGCTCGGGGACCTTTCGTGACATCACAGCAGCACAGCCAATGTTATCAAGGCCATCATTGGAAAGTCTGTGGCCAGATTTTATAGCTCAAAAGGTCAACTTACAACAATGAAGATCATTTTAGGGTTGCGCCATTTGAAATCAAAGCCCAGCATGGCAGTTGCTTTCTCCTATAAGAAATTGTGGAGGCTTTTGAGTGTGTGTCCATCTGTCTGCCCCTGTAGGACCCATGGAAGAATGCCGGGTTTTTAACATTCCCCAGGGAAGTCTGGATTACACCTCTTGCTTGCAGGCCTTGCCGTTTGTCTGTCACTACAAAAAAGGTAGAGCGGATTGTTTTTATCTTTTACAGAAGGATTCCCATTTATTCTAGCGGTCCTCAATTTTTAATCTCCATTTACTGCAAACTCGGCAGGACGGTGATTTTAAAAACGCTTTTACACCCAACATGATTGTTATGGGGTGTTTCTAATCTGGCTGTCATGGGCGAAGAGCTTCCAAACCTTCTCCCCATAGATTGAAAGAGGGGGAATTGATGTTTCAACCTGCTCACTGTGTCCCTTGCCCTAAATTGCATTTCTAGATCACTTAAGGGGGGCATTTGTACCTCGTCAATAAAAGAAAGAGGGAACGAGTACCAGAAACCAAGGATAACTACTTTCCATGCAATGTACAAATGTCCGTTTATAAGCCTAAGTGCAAATTTCGGAAGCATGATGATCATTTAGTAAAAGGCTCCCTGCAATCCTTGCACGAACAGTTCCGTGCCAAGAAAACTGAGTGTCGCCTTGTTTCTTGGCTTTTCCTCTGCAGAACTTTATTTCCAGCTGAAGGAAATGCAGTCCAGATCCGTCCCGCCACTCATTGCACGGATTAATGCATGGGCCAACGCAACAGTGGTGAGTCTAAGATCTGGGTCCCTTCCCCAGCAGGATACCCAGGTGTCCGTTGCTGAGGTCCAGCAGCATGTTGAAGTCCTCTGATGTGAAGTTATTTTTAAATGTTCGATTTGAGTGCTGTTCGAAGACATTTCAGCGGAAGTCGTTCAGCTTGTAGGTCTTTCAGCTTTGTAAAGAGCAAAGAAAATGGATTACTTTTCAAACATAGTAATAATTAATTGGGATGAATTACTTTTAAAAAGTGACTTTCGAAGTTCTGTGTAAACCTAATTTAAAGGGCATTTTAAGGCTGTTTGAGATGTATTTTGACATGATATTCTGCTAAGTGTTATGCCATTCTGTTATGAATCAGAAAGGAATTTAGTTCTTTAAAAAGCAATCAAATTCTTATGATTGCTACTGATTATAATATTTTGTGGCTTTTGTTGTTAATCGCCGCAATTTCATATAGGCAAAATTTTTTGAATACTAACAATTAAAGGAACAAACTACTTTTATAGTTACTTTACAAAGTAACTTTTCAAGATCCCATTTTAACCCCATTGCTTTCTGCCCCCCCTGGCTGTAGATTCCAGAGGATGTTCTCCAGGCAAATGTCCAGCCAGAGGTGAACGTTTCAGCTGCTGCCGAAGTCCTCAGGGTTGTGGAGACGGTATTGTCAGATGTTGACCCGCCACCTCTGGAAGCAGCTGCTCTCCTAGGTGTCTTCCAGTTGCTGAAAGAGGTCTCAGACCTGGAGGTCAAGGATCCTGAACAGATGGCCAGCTTGGAACAACTGGGTTCAAGTTACGTGAAAGTCGCCGGCATCCTCCTGGAGGAACAGAACGCCGAGGAATGGTCTGAGATAAAGCCGGTAAAAATGATGATGATGATGATAGAATAATAGTGGAGGGAAGGGGTCTGAGGAGAGTCCAAGAGATCTGGAGGAACCAAGATGAAAGCGCACTAGAGAAGCAGAAAGCATTCAACCTTTCTCCTCTTCTGTAGGATCAGCCGGCAAAGCCATGATTATGGTCCTACCAGGGCATCTGCATGACCTCTTTTAGGAAGGACGGTCCTCCATTCGAGGTGCCATCTAATTCAAAGGGCATTCCTTCCCTTTTCTGATTTTTTTTTTCTTCTTCCTCTTTTTCTTTACCGTTCTGCGACAAAACATTAAAAAAAAACATGTTTTCCGAGCTTCGATTTCATTTCAGGGTCTGTTGGGGATTTTTAAGATGCTGAGCCTTGTTTAAATCTGGACTCGCCGTTGTTAGGGCGTTATGTGGGCAATGTGGTCAGGCTGAAGGATGTGAAAGTTCCTGATGTGGGCGGAAAGCCACTTTCAAGGAGGGTTTTCACCACAGAAAAAGGCCCAATCCAGTCAACAGATGATAAAGAAGTGGGGGGGCTGGAAAGATTGGTTGGTCTGATTGGTTTTCTTCCCACGGCACCCGGTCATGGGTCCAGATCATCGGTGGACCCATGAGCATTGTCGAAAACGTGGACAAGATGGCTTCCAGCCTCCACCAGCTCCTGAGCGAGGAAAAGCCAAGAGTTGCTTTCCAGAATAAAAACATCGGTGAGTTGGAGCAAAGTGGGGCATCTGACCTTGTGTGAGCAATTGTGGGAGCAAGAGACAGCCAAGGCGCTTCACCTCCTTATTTACACCAGAGGTGGACAAAATTCCTTTATTTTATTTTTTTATTTGAACACCCAGAATCCTACTGTGGAGATAGTAACACCAGCCCTGGTAAGGTGGAAAAGCTGGGATGTTTTAATTGGTGGGGACGATGACACTAATCAGCTTGCCCCTTGCCGATTTTTGCTTGTTTAGTGGATAGAGTGATGGATTAGGACTCTGGAGAACAGGGTTCAAATCTCTACTCAGCCATGGAAACGAAGGGAGTGGATCTCGTAAAACCACTCCTTAAATATCTCACTTACCTTGAAAGACCTTAGTAGTGTCGCTATATGACTTGTTCTGTGACAGCACAGAACACACAAGAGAAATAAAAAATCACGCAAAAAAGAATAGACCTAAATCTTGACAGCAAATTGTTGCTTATTAACAAGATGTTGGTTGCATTCCAGGGTGCACCTCGTTAATGAGCGGCAATTTGCCATCAAGACGTACACAAATTCCCTTGTAAAATTAGCCATAGAATCCTGTCTCCCAAGGTTTCCTTTTATATCTCTGCTTAAGAGAGAGCCAGGTAGGGCGATGTTTTCACACAGGCACCACAAGAGCGCAACATGTGGAGCATGACTTCCTGTATTATGGTAGGACCGTGATATCCAAAGGGCATTGGTTCAACGCCCAACCCCCAGATGCTGATAACCATGGCTATGCAAACCCTATATACTGTATAACATATTCTCTGGTTCCCTCTAGTGACCAGTTCTGGTAATACACCTTGGGAATGTCTATTTCTCTGGTTCCCTCTAGTGACCAGTTCTGGTAATATACCTTGGAAATGTCTATTTCTCTGGTTCCCTCTAGTGACCAGTTCTGGTAATACACCCTGGAAACGTCTATATACCTTGGAAACATCTATTTCTAATTTAGTATTTTCAGGCAACTGTATTGATCCCACAAATATAGTGGTCCTGCTGTACTGGGTAACTTTGCTATGTTGCTAAATTTATTTTTGTGGTCTATATTGGGGCTCGGTGTTTTCTTGGGAGCAGCCCAGGCTTTCTGGAGATTTCCACTGCATTTCATTCTTGGCTTCTGTCCCTGCCAGGAATCGAAATACAGCGTATGGAACTCAGTGGGTCCACACCCAGCAGTGCTGAGTATGTGATGTCGAACCAGCACCGTGATGAGAAAGACCGGATCGAGGTTCCCTCGGAAGAAATGCAGAGGCTAAGAGAAAGAGGTGTGTTGGGGGGGGCTGGCTGAGCACCCGCAGTTCGGTGTTTACCCCTCAACCACTTGTTTGTGGTGATGGGGAGATGATAGTGAGCATCTGACTCCCTCCCCCCTCCCTGGGCTCCTTTCACAGCCCAATCTCAGCTCTGCTCACACCACCGTCCCCCTGGATTCTGCCAGGATTCTACCAGAAATATCCTACATTTTCCTCCCTGTCCAGGTCTGAATCAAATCACAGTAACAAATACCTGGTACAGCTATGGCTCCCTCCAGCGGCTTTTGGCCAGCAGAAGTTCTGTGTTCGAGGACGCAGCAGTGTCGGATGGAGGCAGGAGGTCAGTGGCTGGGGGTTTGCAGAGAGGGGTGGGGAGATGGTCCAAGGAAGGCAGAATTTGACTCACTGGATGCAATCTGGAGTTTCAAAAAGCAACTTTCCCAAGCTGTGCCCTCCACATATCTTGGCTGATATTCTGTGTTAGAGGGAAGGGTTGCCAGGACAAAAATCTTTTGTGCTTAGGATGGCGATGGCCATTTTTTCTAGCAAGAAAAGGTGCAGGAGAGCTGGAATGCCCTTCTGTGAAGTTTGCAGGAATTTCTCTATAGAACTACGCAAAGAACCTGCCCAAAATCCAAGGGAAACTGAGCTGGGAATTTTTGCATATACATTGGCTTTGCTCCAGGGACAGAGTTTTAAGCAGGAGCCTGTGGACGCAAATACCCAATGGCAGGATGAGGCTTCCCCGATATATATAATCCGTAAGCAATGGGTTGGTGGATTGATGTCATTTTGATGTTAGGACACTAGGTGGCGCTGGTGGCTTTCCCATTGCAACATCCAAGAAGCCTGAGACTTTCAGTCATTTTCTTTGCTAATAGGTGCATGGTGGGGGGGGGCAGAGCAGGGAGGGCATCATCCACCCTGAAATCTTGGGAAGAGGTGCTCTCCCCCCCAGCTCAGTCCATGACCTCCCCCCCCATTCTGTGAGGAGTGGGTCAAGGAAATGAGCAGCATACGTTAATTTCCTACCCAGGTACTTGAGCAGCCAGGTGGGCTCCTCCATCATCTCCTCCTCTCTGGTCAGCGACTACGAGGAAATCAGCACATCCGTCCGTTATAGTCTCCAGCACCAGGCCCAGGTGAGGTTTGAGGCAGGACCTGGGGGAGTTTTGGGGATAAATGCCCTGGGAGGGGAAGGGAGGAGAACAACCAGAAAGGAGATGCTGTAGAAGCTGGACAAGGATCCCCCTTCCATGTTGTGTCTCTCTCTTTTCTCTTCCTCCTCCCCGTATTCATTAATTCATTAATTCATTAATTCATTAATTCATTAATTCATTAATTCATTAATTCATCCTTCCTTCCTTCCTTCCTTCCTTCCTTCCTTCCTTCCGTCCTTCCGTCCTTCCGTCCTTCCGTCCTTCCTTCCTTCCTTCCTTCCTTCCTTCCTTCCTTCC